CTGTAAACGATCTGTTGCAGTGCACTGCCTCCTGCAGGACACAATCCACACAATTTGTCTTACCTTGCCCAGGGGATGGGGTCCATCCACAGTGTGTCCATCATCATCTGGACCCCAACTAGAGGAGAATTGAGCCACAATCAGATTCCAAGCAAGAATGTAATATTGCCTAGTAAAACATAACACTTAAATATAACAGACCTCATATTAAGAGCAAACAAAGGCTGTAAGAGCTTTGTTGAATAAGTGACAAATGAACATATGTGATATTTTTACTGTTACATTTTTACTGTTATAAAAGCAACTTCCCTAATTAAATAAATACCAGGGATTAAAAAGAGAGGTGTTTGTTACCTGCAGCTGTAAATATCGTTGATCTGGTAGTGCTTGTTGAAGGCTATAGCCTCCAGGCTGTCTGTCAGTGGGCCGTCCAGGACTCTGATTCCTGAACAAAAACAACAAGGGAGACATGTTTTACCACACAATTGCTAACCCAACGTTTTTAGCTTCTGCCACTTGGGTTATTTACATTAGGAAGTCCAAGTTTAATATTCAAAAAAGTCTTTACCTGCCACCTTGCTGCCGTAGGCCACCCCCACAGCACAGAAGCTGTTGTTGGGAACGGCTGCGATCTCTCCGGCACATCGCGTCCCGTGGTGGTTGTCGCTGTGGGGGTCTGGGTGAGGCATGGGGTCGGGGTCATCGGAGTTCAAGTCATAACTGCCCTCAGGACTCTAAGAGGGTAGAGAAATTGTTATTGGAAAATGAATGTCTGGTTTGCACAGCAATGATAAGGTTGCAATTCAATTCAAACATGGTGCAGTAGACAGAGTTAGAAAAAAAACTGCTACTACAATGTTTCTCACAACACATTATTTGTGTTAATCACTGAACTATAATAGGAAATATAATTGAATTTAGTTTATATTAGATGTATTCTCTGCACTGCTCTGCTTTAAGTAACCATGAGGTAAAAAGGACACTTGCAGTCATGCTTCCAAACTGCTTCATATTCAGCCATGACAGCAGGACACACAGCTCACTTAGATTTAACATTAAATATTTACGGTCCATTGTTCATAGTGTGGAATAACCTTTTGTTTCGACTTACATAGTTAGACTGGATGTCCTGGTGGGTGTGCTCCACCCCGTCATCTACCACCACCACTGTGACTCCTTGGCCAGTGATGTTGCGCTCCCACACCCCTGTCACGTTGATATCCATGCCTTTACTTCTGAAATTGTGCTGCCAAAACAAATAAGGGAAGCAAGAAGACGGCAAACAGTGAAGGAATGAATTCCAATAAGTACAGGTATTTCCTGTGTCTACTTTGCGGTGGTGCAAAGATAAGCATAAGCATCACAACAGAGAATTTTCATTTCCTTAAAATATTTCGGTTGTCTGATGGTTTTTTGTATGGTTCCCATCTTGACTATGACTCCCTGGAGAAGGAGATTCTGTACCTCAAAAGTACCTTTATGGTTGAAAAAGAAAAATGAATAAAGTCACCCTGGATAATGATTTGTAACGTGAACTCTCATGTGTATATTCCACCTTACCAAGCCCTTTATACATACAAGATGCTGTGTGTTAAGAACTGTAATAGAAGGTGCGACAGGATGTTCTTGAACTGTCCCTGCACTCATAGTACTTTGTATACTGATTGAGTTACAAAAGAGACTTATTGCTCAAAAAGTTACAACTTAGTCAAATATTACATGCAGACATGAGATAAATTGATATCATCTAGTGTGACTTCACTTTCAGCGGACATCATTTTCATTGTGTGTATAGATAAATGCCAGTTAGCTAGACTGTTACAAAGAACAATAATAGCCTAGATTCTTACCAGATGCCACTGTTTAGGGTAGTTGGGGTCGTTGAAGGCCATTGATCTCTTCGAGCGGCTCAGCACTCGCTCCTGAGAGTACCACAGGACATGAGGGTGGGCTGCCAGGATGTCCCCAGGCCGGAGACTCCTGCTCCAAATACTAGCTACAGATCCAGGCTTTTCAGAACACAGCAGGTAGTGGCCTTTCAGCTGTCCAACCTGGCCCTGGTTCTTCAGCCCAGCCTGCTCTGCTACCTGGGATGCAGAGATGATAAATTAAACTAGGACAATATTTCTAAAAGTGGGCACCTTGTTTTTCCCTAACCAATGCAATTTCCAAAACAGATAAGATGAAACTTCAGTATTCCCTGCAGATAAATGGGTTTGTTGCAGAAAATAGGATACAGATGGGACGGAGGATTCAGCATAAAGCAAAACCCCTGTTCTTAATCATCCCTGACTTTTGGGAGAATTCACAGAAACACTATATAGAAAAGACTCAAATGTGGGCTGTAATTGTTTATGAGCTGTAGCGTACCCTGTTTGCTATCACATCCAGGTTCACAGAGCTCAGTTCACCGTCTTCTTCCTCATGATCTGGGTCAGAGTGGAGCCGGACGGCCCAGGACTGACCCAGGCCGCAGGAGGGTGAGGGCCAAGGAGAGGGGGGAGAGGAGGTAGATGGGGAAACAGAGGGCAGGAGAGTCAGAAGTAAGAGAGTGATGGAGGTAACAAAAAGAAGGACCAGGAATGTGGGATAATATGGTGTTGCCATGGCAACGGAGGGTGACACACAGGGCTGACCAGGCAAGCCCTCATCAGCTGAACAGCAACCTGGAAAGGAGACAAAGACAGACGAGGGTGAAGAAGGTATCTTGTTAGTTTTGAGGCCAGATGGGAACGTGTGGCTGGTTGCTTATCGTCTGTGTGCTGCATTCAGAGGCCACTTATTAAATTCACAGCATCGCACTAACTGGACGCCAGTTCACAGAGCTGCGGCTGCACCACATTCGATTAACACTGGTTACATCAGTGTTCCTACGCATGCTACTGTGAAGAGGCTTTCACAGATGAATGCTAATCTATTAGCCTTGTTCATTTTAGACAATTTAAATAATTAGAGGCAAATGCCTCTGCATTGAAGTGAAACATTTATACTTGTTTTTACATGAACAGGTGGCAAATGCAGGCATGGACATGAAGTGAACTGCAGTTATAATCAGTGATCAGCCAATACAAAGAAAAAAATATATAATTGCGTCCAGATTAACCTGTTAGGGAGGTGCGAGTAATATGTCACTCCCAAGAACTGTAAACACGACGGTTTATAAATGGACAATAATTATTTGTCCTCCAGACACCTGTTGTGTTACACTAACCCCATACGTTGTCAGTCAAAGAATGCTGTGGGGTGGGGTGGGGTGGGGTGGGGTGGGGTGGGGGGGGGGACCTTGAGCCCCCATTAAAAACAATAATGAATTGTATAAGAAATAAAGACCCATCAGATCAAACGCCCAAGTTGTCTGATTGTCCTCGTGCAAAACACCGAACATCAGCCAGCTGCTCTGACCACATTATAAAGCATATATGTGCATATCATGTACACGTAACGTTAAAGGAAAGTGTTAGCAACAGATTATTTTAAAGAGTGACAGTATATTATTTGAAATTCCGCCTCTTTTTGAGTTGCATGTGGTGAACCACCTGCGGTCAGGTAGGCTAAAGCTAGCTCTCAATTTTGCTGATTGTTTAGTTTCTATTAAGCCATGTATGTCAGCTAGCTAATCGCACAGCTAGCTGGGTTAGTCATTTAAAAGACTGGGACTAGGATAGTAACATTACAGCTATGATCAAATAAATGCATCAGTAGAACAACAGAATAAAAGTCAGAACTTGGACTCCAGTTTCAACCGAGGCATTGTTGTTGTCATAGTAAGTCAGCTAATGTCCCGAGGCTCACTCTTAATATAGCTGTTCTTTAGTGAAATAACACAGGTCAAATTAGAATCAATCATACATCTTTATCCTACCTTTCCACTGAAACCGTCTTTCATCCGTTCCTCGTGAAATTCATGAGCAACATTAGGCTTATCGCCTCATTTCCGCAACACACAAGTCACAACATCAACGTATTACGTCATACAGTTCTTTCGCAAACGTCGTGCGTGCCTCCTGATTGGTCCAAAATGATAGCGGGTACACAGGTATTCTACCTATTCAAATGCAAACCAAACCACTCACATAAGGATGGATTGACACAGGATTAACTGGCACTATGTCTGTAAAGTAAAATTAGACAGTCAAGCGTGTAAGAACTGCGAAAAAATGTAGAGCATATCATATTGCGATTTATGAAACAGAGAGTTGATAAGCTCAGTGGAACCAAAGGTGAGGGGTTGAGAGCTACCAGAAATGCACTTTTCAATTCTTTGGGTGAAACGGCTGATAAGAAGATTTTAAAATAGTTTAAACATGGTTGTAAAATGTAAAACAATGTTGGCTTCTTCAATTCTTCAAGTCGGCCTCTAGAGGACAGTAAGCTCACATCATATCTCTCACCATCAACAAAAATAAAATGTAAATGACACAAAACAAACAAGTCTGGCAATTGTCATCTTAATTGTTTGCATGCAACAAGATAATTGCTATGGAGACTTGTCAACATACATTTTTTTGTCATGCAAATCAATATGATGGCAAATTGATTCATAATACAAGCTTTTTGTACAAATCTGTTCTTGCGTATAATTCTTTAAAAAAGTGGAGCATTCGGTAGCCTAAATAAACTCTTATGCTCATGGGATCTTTTATTAATCAGATTCAGATTCAACTTTATTGTCATTACATAGTACAGGTACTAGTAACGAAATGGAGTTTGGCATCTGACCACATATATATAACAGTTGTTATTATTATTTTTAGGATGTTTTTGGTTGTAATGAAGATGTGTAACTCCTGGGCTTTGATGGCACAGTAAAGATTGACATTTTGTTGTTGGAATTAGTTTTTTTATAAAAGTATAACACATTAGCCATAAGTACACAGTTTTTCTTTTCATCTCTCTCTCCACTTTTCAAGCAGGACAACCAATAGACACAACATACATCTAAGTGAAACTGTTTTTCTGCTCTTTTTCCCTCTTCAGTCAACCTTCAGATACTTCTCACCATGTCCAACCAGCCCACCAAAAATAAAAATGAAGAGGCCTACCTGTCCCTGATGAAAGGCTTGAAAGAGCTGGACCTCAATGGCCCGTGTGTTCCCAGTGACCTGGTGCTGAATGGAGACCATGCCTTTCCTTTAGCAATCGACAGCCAAGGCCAGGTCTTGATGGCAGCCTCTCGGTACGGCAGAGGAAGGATTGTGGTCCTCGGTCATGAGGGCTACCTGACCGCTTTTCCTGCTCTGGTAGAGAACGCTGTGACCTGGCTGAGAGGAGAAGGATCTGACAACCTCACTGTGTGGGTCAATAATTATGTTAAGGCTGTCGCTGATAACCTCATCAAATCTGGCCTCAAAGCTAAAGCTGTTGGGTTCTTTAGTGACAGTAGGGAAGTTGGTGTCTATGTGACAGATGCCTACAGCGTGGAAGCAGACGCAAAAGACCTGGTGGCATTTCTGAAAGCTGGAGGAGGAGTGCTGATAGCAGGTCAGGCGTGCCACTGGGCTTCAACCAAGCCAAAAGAGAACACACTGCTACAATTTCCAGGGAACAAAGTGTCTGCTGTGGCAGGGATCTACTTTAGTATTGGGAAGGTAGAGATCCTGCCTGTTTACCCTCAGATCCCATCCTCATGGATGACTTTACAGTAAGAGTATACTTTCATTCTCTTTCACCGCACATTTAGAAAGGTTCTACCTTTGAAAGGGACACATGGACACCTTTTATTTGAACGTTTTGCCCAACTGTCTATGATGCTATGATTAATATTGAAATTCTGATATTCTTGTATGTAACATAAAAAAATCTATATATTAAATTAGCTTTATAACAATTTTACTTTATACATACTGTATATCACTTTTGATAAAAATATCATGATAATTATATCAGATATTCATAACAAAATGGCAAAATTCCAAAAGATAAATGCAAAGAAAAAAATACACTACTAACCCATACTTAGCGTTTTCACAAGACTTTCATAGAGCAACAAAATCGCCCTATTATAAATGTTGATTGATAGACTTACCCACATGGCAATCTATGTTTCCCTTGTCCTCTTTCACAAACAGAAACGGTAAGGATTTTGAGGATGACGTGGAGTTTTTACTCACGGGGGTTTCAGAGTTTGACCTCCAGGGTTCAGCAGTAAGTTCTGAGATTTTGGTCCACGGCTCGCTTGCCTTTCCTATTGGTACCACCAAGGATGGACAGACGTTCCTGGCAGGATCCTACTATGGGCAGGGACGAGTCATTGTGGTTTCACATGAAGGATTTCTGCGACGACAGGTAGAGTTTACCTTAATATAAGACATTTTCTACCGTTAAAAGTGAAAATTCAACAGAATTTGATCTTGTAGTGAAATCATCTTAATGAAAGTATGATCTCATTCAGAACACTGTATATATGATTACTTATTTGGTTACATATTAACTTATAGCCACCAGAATCAAATAGTTTTTTGTAATTAACAAATTGCTTCCTTTCGTGTGATAACTGTCTCAATACAGACACTGGCTCCGTTTTGGAACAATGCCATTAATTGGCTGGATGGAGGCCGGCAGGGGGTCGTTGGAGTAGCATCAAAACGTGCCCTCGGTCTTCTCAGCAAGTCAGGGTTAAAGTGTGAGAGGACAGAGTTCAAGGAAGGTCTGAGTGTTTTTCTGGGCCCAGCGCACAGTGATAAACATGCGAAGGAAATCCGAGAGTTTGTGGCAGAGGGAGGAGGCCTGCTGATTGGTGGACATGCCTGGTACTGGGCACAGATACACCCTGGGCAAAACGAACTAACACATTTCCCAGGTATGGCTATGCACCAGACATTTATCATAATGCATGTCAAACATATTCCAGGTGATACTGTGGACATTACACAGTATCATTGAGGCACTGAGGACATTATAGCATGTACTGCTATAAGCTGTAATAGACCTGCTTAAACTTCAATCTAAAAGTTCCTTTAATGATCAAAAATGAAACACAATACATAAAGTTGGGTTTTTCCTTTTAGGTAACAAGATCCTGAACCAAATGGGCTTGAGTCTGTTGAGAGGAACAATCACAGGAGGTTTACACAAGACCCCTGAGCCTAAAGACATCTACCACTTCCGCCACCTTCTCCACCGCTTCGCTGGCCATGTAGCCCATGGGGAGACACTTAGCAAACATGAAGAGAACAACTTCAAAAGGCTGGGCAGAGACTGCTCCATCTTCTTGCACATGAATGCCAATGAATGCTCCTCCTATACACAAGTGGTGTCCTCCCTCACTGACATTGTGATGAAGTCAGGCATGCCTCAGGTTTGTGGCAAAATGAGAGCTTTATAAAAAATGTAAATAGAAGATCACACAGCTAACAGCCTGTCCGATGTGTCACAGAAACATCTTTGATAATTCCCCATTTTCTTCCAAGGTGTGTGACAGCTGCCCTGTGAAGACTCCCAAAGATCACCTGCTCCTCAGTGTGGCGACAGAGATTTATAAGGTCTGCCCAAACCCTGATGCTCTCCTGCCGTACCTCATCAAGCATAACCCCTTGATGCCGGTTGTCTATAACCACAAAATCAAGACTGATGTTGACACAGCAGGTAAGATCTTGTTGATTAGGACAAATATGTGAGCTATTTTTGAGTAAAACTTTTATACAGTACATGCTGTTTATGTGGCAGTAACGTCTTTATGACTAAATTGCACTTATCTGCAGACCTTACTGTTGAGAAGTCCAGTTTCAAATGTGTGTTTCAAACGTTATCCATGTAAATATGACTGATCTTATTACTGTATTTGTATTTGTGTCTACAGCCGAGGAGTGGATCAGTACAGGTCTCTATCTCTCTCCTGGTATGAAGACCTACATTGCCATGCCTGAAGAGATGGTCAACAAGGGCTGGAAGGTGCTGAAAACAATATTGAGTTTCATTGTGTTTGTCGTAATGGTGTGCCCCTATTTGAGGTCCAATCCACCCCAATGAATACTCCCCATCAGCGACTATCTTACCCTTAACATTTCCCTGTTCCCTTTCCCAGCGTATCCCCTGCAGAGGCTACATACCCCACCAACCCCAACATCCAGATTTCAATATTGAATCAAATCAAATCAAATCAGGTTTTATTTATATAGCACATTTTTAAAACGATTTTTGGTCGAGCCAAAGTGCTGTACATGCAAATAATAAATAACACATTACTACAATCGCAAACAGAAGACAATAAATTACAACAGCAAATGTAAAAATCAAATATAAAAATCACAGGGAAATGTCAGGAGTCGTGCTCCGCTCTGACTAGAAAGCCAGAGAGAAGAAGTGAGTCTTTAGTGTCGATTTAAAAACCCCTAGGGTCTGGGCCGACCTCACATGGAGGGGCAGACTGTTCCAGAGCTATAGGGCCAGCTGCTGCGAAGGCTCGGTGACCTCGGGTTTTGAGCCTGGTCTTGGGCACTACCAGCAGCAGCTGGTCAGCAGACCTTAAAGCTCTGGCTGGGGTGTAGCGATGGAGGAGTTCTGCTATATAAGCCGGAGCCAGCCCATTTAGTGCTTTGAAAACAAATAAAAGGAGTTTAAAATCAATTCAGAACCAAATTGGAAGCCAGTGCAATGAGGCCAGAATTTGGGTGATGTGGTCACGCTTTTTATGGCCAGTGAGAAGACCCGCAGCTGCGTTCTGGACTAGCTGCAGGCGTCTAATTGAGGCCTGGTCCATACCCACATACAGAGCGTTGCAGTAATCCAGTCTCGAGGTAACAAAGGCGTTAATAACCCTTTCTAGGTCTTTAAAAGATAAAAACGACTTGTTCTTGGCCAATAGTCGTATTTAAAAAAAGCCGGTCTTGACTACGGTGCTGACCTGCTTATCAAATTTAAAAGCGCTATTGAAGGTCACTCCAAGGTTCATGGCAGAGGGGAGGATGTTTTTATTGAAGGATCATCATTTCATAACGCAGGGTTGCACATGAAATGCAATGTAGCCTTGTTCCTTTATGCTACACAAGTAAAACAGGGCAACACAAAACAGAAGTGCATTCCTGAAGTGCATTTTTTGTATTTGTATCAGGAGGAATGTATACAGCAGCAACAAAAACAATGGTATAAACTATGTGCGTCAACTCTGTCATTTGAGCACAGAGACGCACTGATGTAAATAGAGAGAGTTCTGCAGTCTGTCCTGCCCGGCATGTTCAATCACTTATTTCAGGATGCCATGACTTTCTGTCAGATAGTGCATGTCATTCAGTCTTTAAATGTACTGCATCATGACCTTATACATCCATCCAGCATTGCATTCTTTCATGTATAGTTTAAATTATATTTACAATCCTTAACACATATTCTATGTCTTCCTCAGATCCACATTGGCTGTCAAACAGACCGCCTGAATGCTAAAGTGATAAAGAGAGCATCATGGGTTTGTGAGCGGATTCTAATAACCGCACAAATTATGCAAGTGTGCAACCTGTGGGGGGGGGGCTCATCTACCTGTTGGCTCCCTGTAAAACACAAGTGGAGGGCCTAGAGGTCACCGTGCAGATGGCTGTGCCTGCCCCATATTATAAATCAGGTATGTGTTTAGGTGACTGTGGTATGTAAAGTAAAGGCGTTTACCTGAGCTACAAACGGGACTGGTTGGATAACTCTGCTGCTCTATACAAGAAGGGACAGTGTAGACTGTATATGCTGTAGAGACTGAGGTCTTGTGGAGTGCAGGAGGCTCTCCTATAAACCTTTTTTTTTAATCTGTAGTGGCATCCGCCATTTTTATGCTGCTGTGAGATTGCAACTAATGCAATCTCATTAGTTCTTATTAAACATCACTTCTGTGCTGGGAAACTAAAATGATTTCAGTTTAACAGGTGTCCATTTAAAATGTATATAAGTACATAACACAATATTGAAGTAATTCATTGCTCAGTTTTAAACACATCCACCCTCTTTGTTCTCTTCAGGCGTGACCACACCAGCTGATTGGTCGTTGCTGCGCACAGCTCCGTCTCCCTGGGCAGAGTTGGAGTTTGAAAACATCATCCTAACCGTACCATCAGATGTTGTTCGCAGTCTGGAGCGCCCTGATGAGCTGGCAGCGCTGTGGGATGAGATCATGAGGAGCATCGCTGATCTGGCAGCCAAACCACGCAAATTTCCTCGCAAAGAACGCTTTGTGACAGATGTGCAGATTTCCCATGGTGAGTGTATTTGGATTTTTGTTCTTCATTCTGTTGAGAGTCCAGGAAATATGAAGCCTGTCCCAACTAATGCTGGGTTAGAGGCAGGGTACACCATGGAAAGGTCCCCAAAGCACATATATAGACAGATAGACAGAACACCATTCTTATTCGCACCTATGGATACATTGGAGTTGCTATAACAGTTTGTTTTTCTGATTTTTCTCAATCCAGGTCTGATGCATGCAGGTTATCCTATCATGGCACACAAGGCCACAGCAGCTCTGCTGGTCAGCACTGCCCATATTCGGGGGAAAGGCCTGTGGGGGCCCATCCATGAACTGGGACACAACCAACAGAGAGGCTGCTGGGAATTCAAACCAAACACCACAGAGTGCACATGCAACCTGTGGTCAGTGTATGTGCATGAAGAGGTGTTCGGGATCGAAAGGGGAAAGGTATAGAGTCAATTTTTTTTTATAAAACAACTGAAACCTTTGGCTAGAAAAGCCTAGTCTTCAAATGTAATATCACTCAATTGTTGGTTTTAGCTAATTTCTTGTTTAACAATGATATCATTTAATCTTGTTTAATGCAGGCTCATCCGAAAATGACTTTAGTAAAGCGCAATAGTCGAGCAAAGAATTACGTTACGCGGGGCAAGAAACTCAGGAGCTGGAGCATGTGGGTGGCCTTGGAGACATACATGCAGGTGAGAAAAAGTGACCGATATTACACCCTTGTATTCTCTCATTAATTTACACACTCAGACACCAATGAGGCAGAGCTGCCAATTAGCATATGCTATCCAGTTGTGGCTTGTTCCAAATCATCAGAAATTGAGCAATGGGACAAAATGACAAATAATCAAAGTCATAAACCAGTACAAACTACCACTTTGTGTTTAACCTTAATACAACTGAAAGTCTGAAGCCCCATTTGACCCAGTGAGGCTTTAATGCTCAATAAACACTCAACTAAAGGGGTGGGAAAATGTCCTTTACCTGTGTCTCCTTCCATGCAGCTCCAAGATAAGTTTGGCTGGGATGCCTTTAAGAAAGTGTTTGCTGCCTACTTCAAGATCAGCTCTCCAAAGGACAACAGTGGAAAGATGAACCTGTATGCTGTGACCTTCTCCCAGACTGTGGAGATGAACCTGTCTGCGTTCTTTAAGTCCTGGGGCTGGCCCATCAACGCAGCCACCGAGCAGAAACTCAGCACCCTGCCTCCCTGGAGCGACCACCCCATGGTCCAGTATGGCTGAACTGCAGACTGTTGCTCATTACTTTGCAGATAAATGGTTTATCAACAGTTAACATGTCTAGGTCTATTCATGAATAATCTGAATTAACTGCATGTACATTCAGGCTGTTTGTAAGACAGCAACTTGTCTTAATGTTTTCCAGTTGTTCGCCTCACTGTCAATAAAACAGTCATATAAACAGTTGTTTTCCCTCTATTTATTTGTATTCATTTACTTGTGGTTGATAGAGAACAAGGGATGTGTTATTCGTAAAGCTGTTAAACTGTAACATGCACCCTTTTCATTTTTAAGTGTATTGTCACGTTAGACAATGTAAAATCATACAGTAGGTAATGGCATCATCCCTTTACCTTTATTCTATAACTCATTGCATTCCATTTCGCTGTAAATTACTGCTTTATTTGATTGCTATTTAACTATATTTTATTACAGTGTCCTTAAAGATTTCTTGTTTTATATGGAGATTCTTTGTTTTATATTTTATGTATGCACCATGACTTCAAGTCAAATTCCTCGTATGTGTGAACCTATCTGGCAATAAACCCGTTTCTGATTCTGATTCTTTCATCACTTGCAGTTGTTGTCAGACTGCTCCCCTACTGGCTGATTGGAGAACTGCTGGAAGAACTCTCCGAATTTTGCCAGAGACTCTGGTGTTTGTTCTTTTCTTTCTACGGTAAATACCATGAAGTAAACAATAAGCAGTGCTTTAATTTAAAACATGAGCCACATCAATAGAGCATTGTGTAACTACACTGGTCAAGTAGGACCCTCCTTTTTTTATGGGATTGTATTTCTCCTTCTATTTCACATGGATATTTTTATGGAAATACACTTGAAATGGAAATCTATTGAATTTAGATATTTAAGTAAAATGGAAGGTGGAATAAAATACAAGGAAATAAAGCATGTTTTATTTGTCGACTGTATTTTCTGGTATTGATTCAAGTCAATGGCTCACGACCTGGAAGGTATTGAAGAAAAATCTCAACTTTTGAATGGAAATATTTTAACTTGCAAAACTTTATTAATTTTAAAAAATAAGGGGGGATTAGAGTCCAACAATAAGATGTGTCCTATTTGTACAGTCCAGTTATTATATCTGGTATACATGAGGAGTCAATGGGTCACAGTACATGAACGCTATTGAAAATAAATGATCTTTTCATTACAAAAAATGCTGAAATTTCACATCAATATTCATATAAAATAGGTGTACTAAAATACAATTTAAAAAAACAGGTGTGCCGTACTTTCAAATCTACTTTAAACAATTAAATGGTAACATTCACTCCACCAGATGACAGTCTTTAAGCTAGTTTTCATGGTTGATGTTTCGAGGGAGGAAAGGAAAATCACACACTTCATGTTACAGTTACAATAAGTACTTTATTGATTCCACAGTGATGCCAGCGCCTGACAGATAAATATACAGTTTATCAATGTACAGCTTGCTGAGAGACAATACACACAGTCCCTTGTACACATACTTAGTGTTTTAAGTGTTCAACATACTTTTGGCTGGTTTCTTTTTTCTTTTGACTGCAAATGTAAAGGCTTTATTAAGGTCATGCAGAAGAAATTTCAATAAGTAGCATGTGTAAATGGAATTTGATTCCCCACCCTGATTTAAAAATCTTAATGTGCAAGTCTCCAGGGACCACAATACATTTCAAAATAGATATGTTCAACAGCTAACCATCTTGTCTCTTACATTCATTCTCCTCAAAGTATTGCTTTGGTACCATTGGTTTGTCATTGAACACAATTTCCAGGTGTTGATTCATCGTAGAATGCTTCAGCACAAGATTATTTACCATGTTTGTATTCAAGTTTCATTCAAAAGTCAACACTGACATCTACTGGTAAAATAAATAAACTGTACATAACTTAAATATTGTACATGAGTTTTGATTAAATAACACAACTAAGTAATACTTAGATTTAAGGGTATGGTGATTAAATTAAAGAAATCGTATTGTAATAACACGATTTAGCATGATCATAAATAGGAGAGTCCCCATTTATCTTTTGCACAATTGTTGTATATTCTCGGCTAATCTCAGGCAGTGTAGGATCCTGATCTTCTCTCTGTGGAGCTCCCCGGGACTCACTTGGCCTGCCAGCTTGGCAGAGAAGTGGATCAGGTCTTGCATGAAGAGGCCTACTGCCCCTCTGGGTGCAGGAGGAACCTCGGTCAGAGTACACGAGTCAAATTGAAAGTTGATGTTCTTGGCCCAAGGGAGGCCCGGCCCCCGCTCTTCAATCCACATCAGAGGTCTGTCGTCAGACGTTAACAGCTTTGCAGTCATCTTGCTGTAGTTGTTGCCAGAGTCTTCCTCCATAGTTGCTGCAGTTACCGACAGCTCACCGAACAACTCAACCAACCACGTAAGGCGAGCAATGCCACTAAATGCTGGGAAACCAAATCCAGGCTTCAGAGCTCCACCGGTAAAATGAAGCGTTCCTTCCTGCAGGAGCTTTCCCTCCACCTCTCTCTTCAGTTCTTTGAAGTCTTCGGTCAGCAGCTCAATGTGTTCCTCATGGAGAATAACTCCTTTTTCCTGGGCCAGGTTCCAGAGCTCCAGAGCAGCTTTGTAGTTCATGGTCATGGGATATTCCACACACACGTGTTTTCCTGCCTGCAGAAAAGTTCTGACGTTTTCCTCATGCAACACATTCTCAGTGCAGATGAACGCCACCTGGATGTCCTCTCTGCTCACAGCCTCTTCAGCGGTCACCTGACTCACTCCCTGCTGAGAGTCCAGCTTTCTCCTGGATATGAAAGCTCTGACATTCAGTTTCTCTGCAGGACTGCCAGGCAGAGGAGCTAACATGTCTCTGATCCTCACCCAACCGGCTGTGCCAATGCCAACAACCACCGCTCCAAACATGCTGGTTCACTGCCCTTTGGTGACCAACACGGAGAAATGTAGCCGTAATGTTGTGAGCTATGGTTGCGAGTAGTGTTATCCCAATAGGTGACGTAACACAGAGCTAGCGGCTATCAGCAGCCTTCGAGTGAGGCGCCCGGAAGTGTCCGCCTGCAGCAGCGAGGCATAAGCATGGAGGGCATATGGGGCGCTTCTTCTTCTCTCAGTTTTTGGCGGATTGCAAACAACTTTAAGGTGCATACCGCCACCTACTGTACAAGAGTGTGTATCACCATATCATCCTATCACCACTTGTGGAATTATACCACTGTATTTACGTTGTTTTAAATTCTTCCAATCAATCCTGTTTCACTCAAATACTTAAGAATGGCCTTCCTGGTAGCTCTTACACCCTCACCTTCTGTTCCCAGTATCTCCATCACTGGCCATCAGGCTCCACTCCCTTCCTGCCTATCAGACCCTGTCTCTTAGTTTTCCCCTCTCTGTTTTGTACATGTTGCAGTGTAATATGATGTGTTCCACATTTTCTTTCTCTCCACACCCCCCGCATTTTTCAACTTCACCTTTACCCGTTATAAACATTGTGCCGTTTAATCCTGTATGATCCAATCTGAGTCTAGTGATGGTGATCTCCTCCCGTCTGTTCCTTTCTGTATAGATATTTATTATGACTGATTTCTGTAACTTGTGGTATCTCCTCCCTTTCTGATTCCCTTTAACCCCCTCATGTGCAGGCACCCAGCATAACTGCACATCTATTCCCCTCCTCTGAAGTCTCAGTAAGCAATGGTTGAGTTCAATGATTACATCTTCTCTAACAATTATTGTCGACTGTATGCTTTTCAAAGCAGATAGTGAGTCTGTGCATATCACCACCCTAACAGGTCTGACCTCTTCAACCCATTTGGCCTTTCTCATTTCACACATTTCCCCTCGTCGACTCCTCTTCGATTCCTATCCTCGTGTCTTAGAAGGCTTCTCAATTCTCTAATTTCCCCTCCTCGACTCCCCTTCGACTCCTATCCTCGTGTCTTAGTCCCGCCCACAGGAGATGCGAGCGGAGGAGTCGAGGAGGGGAACCGAGGAGAGAGGAGGGGAAGCAGCAGGCGGTTAGAGAAATGAGAAATCCTCTCCTCTGAGCGGTCATTTTAAAGAGACGTCCATTAATGATGACAGGATCGGCACAGCAGCACTCTGTCTGATGGACAGAACTGTGTTCATGATGACTTATATATGTACTTTTAATTCATTCACAGTGCGGTATAATGAGACAATAACAGGCTACAGATGCGGACATACACACACATATATATATATATAGGTATATATTTATATAAATATATTGTGGTGATTGACATAATTCACCCACGGAACTGTGGGTTGGGGGTATTGTTCCGCACGGACATATATGTTAACTGCTTACTGTGTGCCCTCCTTTCTTCTCTTCCCGGGCTTCAAGCTGATAACATGTGTGTTTCTGATGCTCAATAAAGCTAACTTAGTACCTTCGATACACCGCCTCCGACTCCCGTCTCGGCACTACAATATACAATTTCAGAATCAAACAAGTATGAGCACTCACAGCATAATAACGTTACACTCTCAGAGACTGGATATATCCCCCCCCCCCCCCCCCCCCCCCCCCACTCTCTGGTCGCTACAATGAGGAAATGAAATTATGGGCCAAAAGTTTTATTTACAAGTATTAAAAGTAAGCATAGGACACCAAACCAACTGAGACCTGTCTGTCCCCCGCATCTACGCACCTACACACTGTACAACATGCACCTACAGCTCCTAAAGCATATAATATCCGGCTACAGCCGTTGTGTGTTTTATTATGTGAAGCACTAAATGGTTTTAGACAAATATCGACTCTTTGTTTGTAGATATCTATTAAACTAAAGCAAATAAAGAGAGTAATGTAGGCCTGTTATACTGAGTGATATATATTATACACTGCTCTGCTTTCTGCATAGCTGTTCTCACTGTAAACATTGCGTAGCGATGAAAGCAGTTAATAAAATAATATCCAGGGGATGCATGCAGAGCTGCTGTCATTGGCTGAGATAAGTCCGGCCGTGCGTCACGACTCTTTTAAACATCACTGTTGCCGGAAATGCATCCGCGGAGGAGCCGTGGAGGACCCATCAGTGTATCCTCGATTATAGCTCCTCCAGAGAGCCTCCTCAACGCTCGATCCTCGATGTGCATTTAGAGAAATTAGATGTCCTTCAAGTAACATGGCGCGCCGAAAACCATTTCCGGGTCACTACCGGAGGGCCGAGGATTCGAGGAGTCGAGGAGGGGAAATTAGTGAAATGAGAAAGGCCCACAGTAGCCCAATAATTGCTGCTAGTATTTCTTTAGGGGCGCTTGCTATTCCTCCTTCTATTTCACATGGATATTTTAATGGAAATAAACTTTAAACGGAAATCTATTGAATCGTAGACAAATATTTAAGTAAAATGGAAGGTGGAAATAAAACATTTTAATAATTTTAAAAATAAGGGGGGATTAGAGTCCAACAATAAGATGTGTCCTATTTGTACAGTCCAGTTATTATATCTGGTATACATGAGGAGTCAATGGGTCACAGTACATGAACGCTATTGAAAAGAAATGATCTTTTCATTACAAAAACTGCTGAAATTTCATATCGATATTCATATAAAATAGGTGTACTAAAATACAATAAAAAAAAACAGGTGTGCTGTACTTTTACATTTACTTTAAACAATGAATTGGTAACATTCACTCCACCAGATGTTTGATGTTTCGAGGGAGGAAAGGAAAATCACACACTTCATGTTACAGTTACAATAGCCGCGTTCACACCGGAGTACTTTCACCGTACTTTTCGCGTTTTAGTTCCGTGAGTACCCCTTATGTCGCGTTCACACCAAAAATCGTACTTAATCTCGGGTACTTTTACCCCCATTTTTAGAGCCAGCTCAGAGAGCGTACTTTTCTGTGGGTGAAAAGTGCTCCAAAAGTTCCCCAGTGCTGATTGGCTGGGCGAATTGCAAACCACGCCCGTACAACTCTGAAAATGTTGTGTGGAGACGCCATTGTTTTTCCTCGCTACAAAAACACAACGCTCCGTGCGTTGTGTTTGTTTTTGAAAGCAGTTATGGCAAGCATCAAGAAATGATGAGGAGGTGTCGGCGCTTCTGGAGATCTACGCCGAGGAGGCGACCCAGGGAATGCTACTGAAGCCAGTTCGGTAGCTTTCACTCGACCTGGGAATTGTGCACAGCCGGCTAAATATAAAGAAACTCAGGACTACAAACGGCGGATTCAGTGGCCAACGATGACTACCACGATGAAGGTAAAATCAACTACATGCACTGGGGTTTTAATCTGCACAATAATGGTCTCAGATGTACTTTTATTTGCTCAGTAGATCAAGCTAGCCATGCTAGCCATAATAGGCTAACACCGGCCCCGGCTAGCTACATCTAGCTAGCTAGATATTCTCCGCTGTATGAAAACGTTTTGACTTGTGAATAACTGTGCAGTGTTTCTGTAATTTGCTTCACTAACTCATGGCACTAATCGTCTGTTTCAGGCGAGGATGGACAACTCTCGGGATTGGAAACAAGTGAGCTTTGCATTCTAGATCACAGCGCTTTGTCGTCCTCCTTACCAGCAACCAAACGCAAAGGTACACACACTGTAATTTTGTCTTGAAAGAACGTTACGCATCGAACTGATGTTCACAATCATGTTTATTTCATAATATTCATCATATTTTATGTTTAACTTGCCTCAACAACATTAAACAAAGTTCAAGCATACATGAAGCACTCTTCAAAAAGGAACAATCCTCCGTGTTTGAACCTCTTAAATCGCTGCATAGCCGATTTATTTGGACTGGATTATCCCAGAGAGGCCAAACATTCTTTATAACACAGTTTCAGATTTGTGAAACCTTAATTCTATTTGTGAAAATAAAAAAAAGGGAGATTTCAGTGCTTTTTTTACATGTAGACCACATTAGACCAGGTCCTGATGTAAAACCACTATACCTACACTCATCAAATCTGGACTGGATTATCCCAGAGAGTCAAAAGATTCTTTATAACACAGTTTCAGATTTGTGAAACCTTAATTCTATTTGTGAAAATACAAAAAACACATTCCTAGTATGTTGTAAAACTACATGGCGACTAAACTTGTATATTGTATATTGCTTATTTTCCCCTCTTAGGAAAGCGGACACGGGATGCGAATTTCTTTGACACCGCCCAGGCGTTGGAGGACCGGCGTGCCGTGGTGAATGAGTCGCTGCGTGGAGATCAGATGGTGCTGTTCACCAAGGCCCAGGAAACGGAGGACAAGATGCTCACCTCGATGGAGCGCCAGGCAGCAGATGGAGCGCCAGCAGCACCAGGATGAAGTGTGGGCGCTGCGCCATGAGGAAGCGTCGGCGCAGCGGCAGGATGAGCGACAAACTGCATTTAATAACAGTTTATTTGGTATAGTTTTTGTAAATACTGACACACGACACACAACGTTGCACTAAGGTGTGCATGCTGCTGGGAATATCCCTACACCTGGGACAGTTTATTTTATATTGTTATTACTGTTATGACTTTATTTTATATATAATGTTTACTGACATGTACAACTGACACTTTATTTACATTTAAAATTGTTCTATTTAATGTTATGTCTTGAGAGTGCAATAAAGAAAACCGACATGGCGATTAAGCTTATTTCTCCTGACACTTTATCTTTAGTGACCTGTGTAGCATCCTATACATCACATGTAAGTGATTATTCTGATACCATCATGTTTCATCGGTTATAAACTGGCAAAGCTTTATTTGTCATTTATTTATCATCAATGTTGCAACCTTGTGGGGGAATGGCAGGGGCACATACACAAATATGACAATTTATATAATTTTAAATATTATTTGACCTAAACTTTTAATTCCCCCCATTTCACACAACACAACATGGAGTCCACTATGGGCCAAAACTAACATGTATGTTTGCATAGTGTTTATGGCAGACGGATGCAGTGGGTCTCAGGAAGATATATAATAAAGGTGGGTTTGCTGCTGAGACTCCCTACAGCTGGGAGTTTATTTTATATTGTTATTACTGTTATTATATAGTACAACTGACACTTTATTTTATATTGACAATGTTTACTGACATGTACAACTGACACTTTAGTTACATTTAAAATATTTCTATTTAATGTTATGTCTTGAGAGTGCAATAAAGAAAACCGACATGGCGATTAAACAGATCCTGTATCAGTTTTTCTTCTTCTCTTGTTTTGTAGCGGGTTGCAAACAACTTTAAGGTGCTTACCGCCACCTACTGTACTTGTAATCTTCCCTCAGGGAAAAGTACTCCGGTGTGAACGCGATCTGTACTAAGTACCCTGGGGTTAAAAGCGCCAGGGCTCTTAGTGCCGGAACTAAGTACAGGAAAGTACTTGGTGTGAACGCGGCTAATAAGTACTTTATTGATTCCACAGTGATGCCAGCGCCTGACAGATACATATACAGTTTATCAATGTACAGCTTGCTGAGAGACAATACACACAGTCCCTTGTACACATACTTAGTGTGTTAAGTGTTTAAAATATTTTTGGCTGGTTTTTTCTTTTGTCTTTTTTTTTTTGGGACTGCAAATGTAAAGGCTTTATTAAGGTCATGCAGAAGAAATTTCAATAAGTAGCATGTGTAAATGGAATTTTATTCCCCAACCTGATTTAAAAATCTTAATGTGTAAGTCTCCAGGGACCACAATACATTTCAAAATAGATATGTTCAACAACTAACCATCTTGTCTCTTACATTCATTCTCCTCAAAGTATTGCTTTGGTACCATTGGTTTGTCATTGAACACAATTTCCAGGTGTTGATTCATCGTAGAATGCTTCAGCACAAGATTATTTACCATGTTTGTTTTCAAGCTTCATTCAAAAGTCAACACTTTTTGTCAGTCGCGTCCGAAGAACGGCTTCATTGTTCACGGACGCACGGGACACCTGGGGTGTTTCTCAATCGCGAGTACGCTTGCTTGGTAGCACATGTCTGCCGAGCATCTTGCTTCAGAAGCGAGTCAAGAATACTTCCTGGCATTTGGAAAACGAAGGGTGTTTCTCAATCGCGAGTACGCTTGCTTGGTAGCACATGTCTGCCGAGTATCTTGCTTCAGAAGCGAGTCAAGAATACTTCCTGACATTTGGAAAACAAAGAGTGGAACAGGCTAGTAAGTGTGCGTCATATGAGAGGCCCCGCCTTACATTTTCCGCCACAGATTTGGGAAAATTGGTCCGTGTGCAAAGCATTGTGGGGATTTTAAGACCGCGGAGTCTACACATGTGCAGCCTCGAAATTTCTCCTAACGAAGTACGCCGGGCTCGGTAGATTTCCAAGCATGCTGGAGATTGGAACAGTACTTCGGCGGCACTCGATGACGTAGTATGCTTGAAATAGTGGCTCTGCAGCAGCTTTACTCGCGATTGAGAAACACCCGAAGAGTGGAACAGGCTAGCAAGTGTGCAGGTGTGCGTCATATGAGAGGCCCCGCCTTACATCTTCCGCCACAGATTTGGGGAAATTGGTCCGTGCGCAAAGCATTGTGGGGATTTTAAGACCGCGGAGTCTACTCATGTGCAGCCTTGATATTTCTCCAAACGGAGTATGCCGGGCTCAGTAGATTTCCAAGCATGCTGGAGATTGGAACAGTACTTCGGCGGCACTCGATGACGTAGTATGCTTGAAATAGTGGCTCTGCAGCAGCTTTACTCGCGATTGAGAAACACCCCTGATGTCCTGCTACGTGTGCGCCAGGAAGCTGAAGAAAAGGAACAAGCTGTGTCCCGTGTGCAGGCTGCCCATCCAGTCAGTCATCTTCACCTACATCAGCTAAAACATCCCAGAATAACATCCAGCATCTCCCTGGTTCCTTGCATCTCAACCATTATGATACGTAAAGGTTTTGTTCAGCAGGATAGACACTACAAAGGAACTACAGCATATTTACATGACTTAACATCCCCAATGCTAAGCTAAAGGCGGCTAATCTTTCATTCAAACGCATTTAAAAAAACATCCAGACGAGCGAACAGGAAGTTGGAAAAATGCTCATTCCTGCACCACTCCATAATTACCAAATTTCAGTTGACTTGCGTCTGTTCGTGCGCACTCTCTCTCGCTTTAGGTGTCTGACAATCTATTCAGGAAGCTGGAATTATTTAATTTTTGTCAACCGCCAAAAAGACTAAAATCTAAAACATTTTGTCAATTTTCTGGTATTTTTTCACTTCCTGTTTCTGTGTGAGACGCATTGTTTCCCACTCATGACAGAAATGTGTCATTTTTGACCTGTTTTTGTTAATAATGATGTTCTTATCATGGAGACAGTTCCTAGAAGTCTGAAGTATTCAAATAGTTCAATTTATAGTGATTATAAAACAGCAAAACACTTGTAAATGTGGTATTTACTAAAGAAGAAGGGAAAAAGTGCATATTTTTGGATATAAACAAACACGTCTTATGTTGAGCATCAATGCACTCTCAGTTTTGGTCTTTTTTTTTTTTAAATGGGAAATTGACAAATGATGCTTAAACCTAAATGTCAATTCAATTATTTTTCGTTTTGAAGCAGTTTTTCTTCCCCTCGTGTCTTCTTCTGAAATGTCGCATGTTAGAAAAAGGATATAAGGAACACTCCTGAACTGTTATAATGTTATAATATACATTTCTGTGTCAAGTTTTGCTTTACTAAATGCATCATTTATTTACAACGGAGTAAATAGGCTATACCTTGTAAAAACTCAAAACAAAAACAAAAGTCAACACTGACATCTACTGGTAAAATAAATCAACTGTAAATAACTTCAATATTGTACATGAATTTTGATGAAATAACACAACTAAGTAATACTTCGATTTAAGGGTATGGTGATTCGATTAAAGAAATCGTATTGTAATAACACGATTTTGCATGATCATAAAGGAGAGTCCCCATTTATCTTTTGCACAATTGTTGTATATTCTCGGCTAATCTCAGGCAGTGTAGGATCCTGATCTTCTCCCTGTGGAGCTCTCCGGGACTCACTTGGCCTGCCAGCTTGGCAGAGAAGTGGATCAGGTCCTGCATGAAGAGGCCTACTGCCCCTCTGGGTGCAGGAGGAACCTCGGTCAGAGTACACGAGTCGAATTGAAAGTTGATGTTCTTGGCCCTAGGGAGGCCCGGCCCCCGCTCCTCAATCCACATCAGAGGTCTGTCGTCAGACGTTAAGAGCTTTGCAGTCATCTTGCTGTAGTTGTTGCCAGAGTCTTCCTCCATAGTTGCTGCAGTTACCGACAGCTCACCGAACAACTCAACCAACCACGTAAGGCGAGCAATGCCACTAAATGCTGGGAAACCAAATCCAGGCTTCAGAGCTCCACCGGTAAAATGAAGCGTTCCTTCCTGCAGGAGCTTTCCCTCCACCTCTCTCTTCAGTTCTTTGAAGTCTTCGGTCAGCAGCTCAATGTGTTCCTCATGGAGAATAACTCCTTTTTCCTGGGCCAGGTTCCAGAGCTCCAGAGCAGCTTTGTAGTTCATGGTCATGGGATATTCCACACACACGTGTTTTCCTGCCTGCAGAAAAGTTCTGACGTTTTCCTCATGCAACACATTCTCAGTGCAGATGAACGCCACCTGGATGTCCTCTCTGCTCACAGCCTCTTCAGCGGTCACCTGACTCACTCCCTGCTGAGAGTCCAGCTTTCTCCTGGATATGAAAGCTCTGACATTCAGTTTCTCTGCAGGACTGCCAGGCAGAGGAGCTAACATGTCTCTGATCCTCACCCAACCGGCTGTGCCAATGCCAACAACCACCGCTCCAAACATGCTGGTTCACTGCCCTTTGGTGATCAACACGGAGAAATGTAGCCGTAATGTTGTGAGCTATGGTTGTGAGTAGTGTTATAGGTGACGTAACACAGAGCTAGCGGCTATCAGCAGCCTTCGAGTGAGGCGCCCGGAAGTGTCCGCCTGCAGCAGCGAGGCATAAGCATGGAGGGCATATGGGGCGCTTCTTCTTCTCTCAGTTTTTGGCGGATTGCAAACAACTTTAAGGTGCATACCGCCACCTACTGTACAAGAGTGTGTATCACCATATCATCCTATCACCACTTGTGGAATTATACCACTGTATTTACGTTGTTTTAAATTCTTCCAATCAATCCGGTTTCACTCAAATACTTAAGAATGGCCTTCCTGATAGCTCTTACCCCCTCACCTTCTGTTCCCAGTATCCCCATCAGGCTCCACTCCCTTCCTGCCTCTCTGACCCTGTCTCTTAGTCTTTCCCTCTCTGTTTTGTACATGTTGCAGTGTAATATGATGTGTTCCACATTTTCTTTCACTCCACACCCCCTGCATTCTTCAACTTCGCTTTTTCCCATTACAAACATTGTGCCGTTTAATCCTGTATGATCCAATCTGAGTCTAGTGATGATGATCTCCTCCCGTCTGTTCCTTTCTGTATAGATCTTTATGACTGATTTCTGTAACTTGTGGTATCTCCTCCCTTTCTGATCTTCCTCCCACCTTTTCTGTCATATTTCCATACCCTTCTTCTTAATTATTACTTTCCCTTCTCCTTTACCAAGTAAAACTGGTATTGCTATTTCCTTTTGTAACACATCTTTTGCTAATTTATCAGCATGCTCATTCCCTTGAACCCCCTCATGTGCAGGCACCCAGCATAACTGCACATCTATTCACCACCCTATCAGGTCTGACCTCTTCAACCCATTGTAGCCCAATAATTGCTGCTAGTATTTCTTTAGGGGCGCTTGCTATTCCTCCTTCTATGGATATTTTAATGGAAATAAACTTTAAATGGAAATCTATTGAATTGTAGACAAATATTTAAGTAAAATGGAAGGTGAAATAAAATACAAGGAAATAAAGCATGTTTTATTTGTCCACTGTATTTTCTGGTATTGATTCAAGTCAATGGCTCACGACCTGGAAGGTATAGAAGAAAAATCTCAACTTTTGAATGGAAAACTTTTTAACTTGCAAAACTTTATTAATTTTAAAAATTAGGGGGGATTAGAGTCCAACAATAAGATGTGTCCTATTTGTACAGTCCAGTTATTATATCTGGTATACATGAGGAGTCAATGGGTCACAGTACATGAACGCTTTTGAAAATAAATGATATTTTCATTACAAAAACTGCTGAAATTTCACATCAATATATATTAATATAAAATAGGTGTACTAAAATACAATAAAAAAAACAGGTGTGCCGTACTTTTACATTTACTTTAAACAATTAAATGGTAACATTCACTCCACCAGATGACAGTCTTTAAGCTAGTTTTCATGGTTGATGTTTCGAGGGAGGAAAATCACACACTTCATGTTAGTTACAATAAGTACTTTATTGATTCCACAGTGCTGACAGCGCCTGACAGATACATATATAGTTTATCTATGTACAGCTTGCTGAGAGACAATACACACAGTCCCTTGTACACATACTTAATGTTTTAAGTGTTTAACATACTTTTGGCTGGTTTCCTTGTCCAAGCATATATGGTCCCTGTTGAGAACACGGCGTGCAAAATATACGGGTCGTGCTGCAGCTAGATTTTCCTGTCCTCTGTTAGAAGGTGTCGGCGACAGACGTGTGAGGAAGAACGGCTTTCCACAGGCTGTTCCAATTTAAGTACTTTATTAATTGTCCTTGGTAGTGAATGGTACATGCAATGGTAATTGGATGGGTGTGGTATCTGTAATATAAAGATAAACAGGTATGAATAAACATGTATTATAGAGGGATAATGACCAGTGACATTGTTACACAGTAAATTAGGTGGATAAAGAAATGGCACAATTAGCTGGCCTATGCTGCCCTCTATTGGCCAAAGGCCGCAACAGAATGGCGATTGAAATGACACGTTACTTATAAGTAATTAACTATTATAAACAATCACGCATGAACAACATACAGGAATGCACACAATGAAGTCTCTATAATGACTACAATATAAAGAACACTGCATACATTGGCCCCTGCATCAACTTGGCGTAACATTGTTCATTATGCAGTGTGAGGGAGCGTGCCTGGTGCGGCTGCACCTCGTGCTGTCCCATAGTCAGCATGGCAAAGTTAGCGGCTATTGCTAACTGCCTTCTATTACAGAGTAAGCTCTGTATTATGAACATTAACCCACAAATAACAGAACTAGGCAAGAATATATGCACTTACATTTTCATGCACGCACACGCATGTCCACAACACACAAAATTAACAACACTCTCAATTGTCCGATGCTACTAGTGTCCGTGTGATCCTGCTACGACAACAAGTGCACGTTAGTATTGCAACATGGTTGAAACCATTCGGGCCTATGTTAGGGGGTGCAAGGAATAGTCCAAGTAATGGGGGAGTTTTATACAGCCGCCCCCTAATGTGTGCAGCACATTAGGATCCAGTAAAAATCCCTGTGACTATGATGTATTATCCTCAGCAGGCATCTCCGGCAGTATGATGAGCTTAGCGACCGAACGACGATAGGTGTGCTTTCCTATCGACACGTCTGCCACCCTGATCCTTCCATCAGGGTTCGGCATCACCTGTTTAACCCTGCCTACAGGCCAAAGAGCACGTGGAAGTTGTGCGTCTACAACCATTACCACTTGTCCCACAGTTAAATCCGGAGTGGACTGCTGCCATTTCTGACGCAGCTGCAGGCTTGGGAGGTAACGTTGTGTGAACTGAGTCCAGAACTGGTCTGCGATGACTTGGCTGTGTCTCCATTTACGTCGGCCGAGAAGCTCTCCTGGGCCATATGTTGCCTGAGGGAGAGAGGCATCTCGCCGCCCCATGAGCAGCAGATTTGGAGTAATGGGATCCTCGTCTGCGATGTCAGATGATACGTAGCCGAGTGGCTTTGAATTAAGGATTCCCTCCACCTCGATGAGGACGGTGAGGAGCACTTCCTCTGACACGATCTGACCCTTTAGGATCACCTGGAGTGCAGCTTTGACGGATCGAATCTCACGCTCCCAGGTGCCACCGAAGTGTGGAGATAGTGGGGGATTGAAGCGGAAAGTGATACTTTGTTCACTCAGTTGTTCTTGCAGAGACGGTTCCAGAGCAGCAAAAGCCTCTTGCAGCTCCCAGTTTCCACCTCTGAAGTTTGTACCTTGGTCACTTATTATTTCAAAGGGCTTTCCTCGTCGTGAAATGAAGCGACGCAGGGCCATAAGGAAAGAGTCTGTGTCCATGCTGGCCAGCAGGTCCAGGTGAACACATCTGGTAGTGAGGCATTTGAAGATAATGCCCCAGCGTTTTTCCTGTCGTCTGCCTATTTTGATGCTAAAGGGCCCGAAACAGTCGACACCCGTAGACCAGAATGGCGGCTGGTGCAGACGCAGCCTGGCGGCTGGAAGGTCAGCCATTTTAGGGACGACAGGGTTTCCACGCCATTTTCTGCATTCCAGGCACTGACGTTGATGTTTACGAACTGCCTGTCTGCCTTTCAGTATCCAGTACATCCGTCGCAGCTCTGCAAAGACGCGCTCTGGGCCCAGATGCAGTAGGCGGTGGTCATAATCCTTTATGATGAGCTGGGTGGTAGGATGATCAGGTGACAGCAAGATGGGGTGGAGAGTGTCAGCTGCTAGATTCTCTGCCCTGCGAAGACGTCCGCCTACTCTGATGAGACTCAGACTGGCGTCATATTCTGGTGACAGGTTACTCAGCTTGCTGCTTGTCCTCACTTCCTTCCCGGTTTGTAGAGAATTGACCTCTTTCCGAAAGCTGTGCTTGTCTCAGGAGTTGAACTTCAGTGTCTAAGCGCTGTGAGGCTGACATGGATGGGCCGTTGGCTCCGTGTTCCGACTGGTATGTGGTCTGCACCAATTCTGCCCACGTCTGGGGTTGTGCAGTGATAGGGAGAAGGGAAATGTTGACGGCAACGTGAGCGCAGCATGCAGACTTCTTTAACTCACTTTCCTCACTTGTTCTCTGTGAAGGCTGAATAGGCCAACATTCCGGTGCCTGTTTGAGGAAGTCAGAGCCTTGGTTCCCCTGACTCGGTGCAGAGAGATCCAGGAGTGTCTTTTCCCCCAGTGTCTCCAAGGCCTCTTTGTCTTGCTTAGATCGAGTGACTTCTCTTTCAGGCCGAAATGGCAGTACATCTATCTGCCATGGTCTTTCGACGCTGTGTCGCAGGTCTTGAGAGGGAAGAGGGAATGATGAGGTGTGAAGACAGGTGGCTTCAGCGGGCTGATGGAGGAAAGTAGCTGGTCCCTGTATAGCCCAACCAAGCTTTGTTTTTACAGCGACAGGGCTGCCTAGGGGCCCCATCCTGATAGGCGATGTTGGAGTGATAAGCTGTGGGTTGTCTGAGCCTATCAGAAGCATAAGTTGTACACCTTTGAATGCTTTAACTGGAATGTTTCCAAGGTGGGCATACTTCTGCTGTAGAAGATCCATTGGGCAGGATTGCTTACCAAGGTCTAGCTCTTTAGCAGTGAAGGCATGGCTGATGTAATGTCTCACCTGAGGGCATCCTGGTGCTGACACATCAAATGACACAGAGGCTCCCTGCAGCTCAGACACTTCCTGCCTGATAGTGCGAAGTTTGAGGGACTCCTCTGCCCCGTCCAGTTGCAGGTAGTGCACTGCAGATTGGAGAATGATGGTTCTTTCGGACCCATCATCCAGGATAGCATGTGTGGATAGTGTTTTGCCTTTACTGTGGAGTTTCACTGGCACCACCTTTAACATCACTCGGCCAGAGTGTGTGACTTGATCCAAGTAGATGGCGCTGGATACTGTACTCACTGCAAGGACACTTTTATTTGTGCTGGATATAGACTTGTGCAGAATCTGCAGATGCTGATCACCACAGGTGGCACAAGGTTTCTTCAGAGTGCAGTTGTCAGGTTGATGCCCCCTGCCACACTTCCAGCATCTTTTATTGTCTTTTATCCATGCTGTTATGTGTGTGGTTGTCAGCTTGCTGAAGTCCGGGCATGAGCTCAGATAGTGCTCTGTACTACTGCAGAAGGGACAAAAGGGCTTGAAACTTTCCCTTTTCTTGTCTTTAGTTGTCTCTTTTTTCCCAGAAGAAGATGTGTTAGAGTCAGTAAAGCGCTTATCTGGGACTCGATCAGTGCCATAGTAAACTGAAGATTGAGGTTTTGAGGGCTTGAATGGTTTCTGCTCCTTGTGCTCTGAATGTGGCTTGTCCGCAGTGTAGCTCTCTGTAGCTCGCCTGGATATCTGGATTGCTTGTGATTTCCTCTCTAACCACACAGCAAGATCAGGGAGTGTGTAGGTGTTAGTAGTGCCACTCTGCAGAATGCCTTTTGTTAGACAATACTCTGCAAAGCTGTCCCTGTATGAGGATGGGAGTTTAGCAAGCAGTCTATCCACATGAGAGCCGCACAAGAGTTCACTTTTAGCTGCTCCATCCAGGCTGTTAAGCAGACCAACAAGGCTATTTACTGACAGAGCAAAGTCCTCAAAGCTCCCTGCATCTCCATATTTCACAGCAGGTGCATTAAGGATGGTGTTTATTTCACCTTGCACTAATTGTCTGGGCTGTCCATAGCGCTGCTGCAGCGCCTGCATGGCCTTGGTGTATGGCATGGGGTCATGGACATACCTCTTGGCTATTTGGAAAGCGCTGGGGAATTTGAGATGATCTAACAGCACTTGGAATTTATAGTCTTCAGACAGGTGATAGTGTGGACCTAATACCCCATCTAGCCCTTTCTTCAGCAGCAGGAAATCACTCTCTTTCCCAGTCGTGAAACTGATTAGCTTGGGCCGCGGAATACCATATGAGGAAGATATGGCCATCTCCATCAAGTTTGGCATATGTGCCGCTGGCTGGGACTGAGTGTGCATAGGCACATTATTATGAACTGGCTGGAGAAAAGAGTTTGGATAGCTAGTAGAGTCAGGCAGATGCGTATGGAGAGCTGAGTGCGAAAACGCATACTGTTGGCCAGCCGCCTGACTGGGATGCTGTGATTGGAGAACAGGAGGCTGCCCCAAAGGAAGTGAGTTTATGCTGGGAATCATAGCAGGCCTGTGCCGTGGGTCCTGTATAGGATTTGGATGTGCCTGAGGAGGAGCAGGTTGCCAAACAACAGGAGACGGAGGTGATGGCCATGCAGTTGAATGTGCTGGAGGCTGCTGATCCCTGTACTGCTGTTGCTGTAGCAGAGGTGGATATGGTAGGCCAGCTGGAGCAGATCCAGGCCGTGGCACCAGAGGGGGATGCATAGCTGAGACAGGCATTTGAGGAGTGGGGACTTGATGTCCTGGGGAAACAAACCCAGGAGGCAGTTGGACTGGAGCTTGTGATGGACTGAGGAGGGATGCTTGATGCTGACGAGGTGGCTGGAAAGAGAAGGAATGTACATTTGGAGGCAATGTGTGGAACACAGCAGGTAATGACTGCATCGAGGTAGGTGATGTAGGTGGAGGCATATCCACACGGCCTTCATCAGTGATGATTGCAGGTCGTCTGATGTCTGAATAGAGGAGAGGCGGACCAACAGCACGTCCAGGCGTAAGCTGGTGAGCATGTGGCGTACCCCTACCGGGCTCCATCGACATCTGTAGTGTGCTCTGTAACATCCTGACCTGCTGCTGTACATCCCATACACACTGTTCCATTCTGCGTAATCTGTCCGTTTCATGGTCTTCTCTCATTTCAGTCCAGCGTCGTTCTGGTGAGGATGTTTGATAGTTCAACCCTGGTTGATAGTCAACGTAGCTGCTTTGTATGTACTCTGACGTAGGGGGAACAAGCCGTCGGGGTGGATGAGCCAGAACATAGTCCTCTAGATCAGTGGTTCTCAACTGGTTAGGCCTCGGGACCCACTTTTTACTTGGTCAATACATCGCGACCCAACATTTTGAAGCACTCAAATCTATTCAACAAAAAATCGTGCTGTAATATACGCTTTTCAGAATACAATATTAATAAAAGTGAAGTACAGTGCATATATCCCTTCACAGAACTAAAGTATGCTTTTAAAAAAGGTTCAATGAGATGATGGAATCAAAGCTGAACTATATAAAAAGGCACACATGCTGAAAACCCAACCCCAGCAGGGGGGTCTGGGGGGATTCTCCCCCAGGAGATTTTTTGAAATACTAACAAACTACGCATTCTGGTACACTCTGAGAAGAAAATAAATAAATCATACATATTAATAATATTTTATGCCATTGTTTGTTTTTCACTTAGTTCTGACAGCTTGCTGAGAGAAGAGTAAAGAGGAGATAGTCTGTGTGACTTACTTTGAATTGTGGGTAAGGGTAGATAGCTCCCATTGTTCTGTGACCTGTCAATCATCAAATCGGGGGTCATATTTCATTATGTGTTCATTTCTATCTGAAGTTGTACCCATGGATGTATAAAGAATAGTTCTACCGCTAAGTTATTTTCCGTGGGAACTTCCGGCAACAATCTTGATTCTGATTGGCCAGAAGACTCGAAAAAACATCAGCAGAGATGTTTTATTGAGAAGATGATCACTACGTGACAGAAGTTTTCAAACCCGTTTATGGTCTCCGGTACTTCCAGTCCAACGCCTACTGCATGCACAGCGTTAGAGAATCGGTTCTTCAAAATAAAAGTTTGCCTTTTTTCCCAAAAAAAAAAAGAGAAAAAATTCAATTTTTTTTTTTCCTTCACTCACACATCCGCGACCCACTTGAAACGGGTCCGCGACCCACTTTTGGGTCGCGACCCACCAGTTGAGAACCACTGCTCTAGGGTTGCGTTCGAATACTCCAAAAAAACAGCTCCTAAGTTCTAACCCTATCGTCTATTCCTTGACCTCGGAGTGAAACGTCATGGGGTTAAGGGATAGTGGATAGGAGAATTCAAAAGGATTTAGGAGAAGAGACTGCGGCACTTTAGAGAATCCGACTGCACTTTCACTATCCGACGTGTTTATGATGCGCCAGCAGAGGTCATAAATGTGCGCCTGCTGCTGTGGGGAAACTATGGAAACTACAGTTTTCTATCCAGCGGACTACAACATGGATGTTTAATAAGAACGAGGGACTACTGTAAACTCATCTAGAGACTCTGCACCGTGCTCTGATGCTGTTGTTTTATGCTTTATGAACGGGGACAACAGAGAAACATATTCTTCATGACCAAAGTTGAAATTGAAATAAAAAAGGAAAGTGAAACTTATGCTCGTCACCCTCTCCCTCCGGTCCACATTAATACAAATGTATTTATTATAAACGTTAGTCCTTAACATCTATCACTGTGTATATCACCATTCAAACATCTTTTAAAAGTTGAACAAACCCCACACAGCTCAGTAAAGACTGTGAAATGTTGACTTTATTTGATCATTTCAGTAAAAACTAACGTTCATATTTCTCTTTTTGATTATAATACTGATGAACGTTCAAAACAAAGCACTTTGGCAACTTACCACATACGTTTTAAAATGCTTAATAAGCACCGTAACTTTCATGATATCATTTCTCGTTCATAATCGGTTGTTTCCGTGAACGGCCGACTGTTGTGTGACGGCAAATGCTGCGGCTGCAAGGCATTGTGGGGCAGCATTTTCTCCTCTCCTTTCGGTTAGGGAGGTCCAGTGGTTCCTAGGCTAAAGGAGGTTATAAAGGAAGTTTGAAACCTCCTTTCCTTTTAATTTAGAGAATTCGAACGGCACTTATCATGGCTGCCACTGAGGGACTTCCGGGTCATTTCACTCCGTTAGGAAGGTTCCTAAGCTAAATGGACTATTCGAATGCAACCTCTATGTCCTGGGACCCTGTGGGTCCGTCTAGGACGAGCACCTTGCTCCTCTTCCTCATCATGATGTCGTGATGTCGCCATTAGGAAAAGCTGTCAACACCTCCGGCTCGAAGGACCATTTGTTGAGAACACGGCGTGCAAAATATACGGGTCGTGCTGCAGCTAGATTTTCCTGTCCTCTGTTAGAAGGTGTCGGCGACAGACGTGTGAGGAAGAACGGCTTTCCACAGGCTGTTCCAATTTAAGTACTTTATTAATTGCACGCACACGCATGTCCACAACACACAAAATTAACAACAATCTCAATTGTCCGATGCTACTAGTGTCCGTGTGATCCTGCTACGACAACAAGTGCACGTTAGTACTGCAACATGGTTGAAACCATTCGGGCCTATGTTAGGGGGTGCAAGGAATAGTCCAAGTAATGGGGGAGTTTTATACAGTCCCCATTGAAAGATGTGAGTTAGGTTGTTTCTGTGTCTGTGAAAGAAGCCCTTTCAAAGTCTTGCTCTGTTAACATGTAATGTGCTGTTACATGTGCAAATCATCTGATGGTGCAGCAGCAATATAAGCAATGTGTATACTGTGTGTGTGTGTGTGTGTGTGTGTGTCTGTGTGTATGCATGAATAACAGATCTGGAATGCAATACATTTTATTTACAATAGATACATTTAAACTATCAATATAGGAGGAAAACGTGACATCTTATTTTGTCAGTAGTCTCAGATTCACACCAAGCAAAACTGATCTTATGAAATAAATGCGGTTACAATCTGATATTTCATCAACTGAACCTCTTTATGCTTACTTAGTTTGCAGTGCAAAATTATTTGCTGGCAATTGCAAAATAGTGTGATTTTATAGAAGCTATTCATACGCAGTAGTATTTTAATTTTCAGTATCATCTTCATTTTAATAAATCTTTGTGTATACCCTTCAGTGCAGCCGTGCACACATACAGGCATGCTCACGCATCAACTTTCAATCACTCATAAGCCACAAATAGCAGATCTATACACACACATATAACCATACACTCACATTTTCAAATCATACCATAACAAAGCAAGTCTGGATTCCAATCTTGTATTCATATCCAGGATGTGTTTCTTCACTAAGCAATGTTTGCAATCTGTTTTGTCTTTATTTTACCTAAACTCACCGAGTTTTGAGCTCTTCAAATGTTAAGAGACCTCACAATTACAAATCCAATCCATCTCTGTGGTCTTTTTTTTAAAACACTAAAACAAAGATTTTTACCAGGATTTTTTAAATTTCGTTTTACCCACATTTCGCCAAGCTGTTTCTGCATAGGTAGCTTAAACAGGCAAAGTTGATGCTGACGACACCAACTTTTTCCACCAGTTAGTAATGGCTCTAGTTATCCTCAATTGATCTGTTCACTGTGCAATCACTGTATGTCAGCCTTTTTCTACACTTTACATATTAGATTCCTGAAAACCTCTTCAAAGTTCTGTTTCAACAGCACCAGCATTAATAATAATAATAATAAATTGTATTTTTATAGCGCTTTTCTCGAACCCAAAGACGCTTAGCATTCTGTAACAACGCTCATCTTTTACCCCACAATCCACCCTTGCCTGCGTTTCAAGTGTAGGTCTGCACGACTTCGTTTGTCGTCTTTCTTCTCGCCCTTTACTTCAGGAGCGATATGTCGTCAGCAAAGTCACCTTGTGGGTGGATGCAGCGGGCGAAGCGCCACTGGCACACCATGAGACACAGCGGCAGCATGAAGAGAGCGCAGATGCCCGCCATGATGTAGGCGATGGTCATGAGAGTGGACTCGTCCGTCTGAGGGATGTTGTAGCCGCAGTCCTTGAGGTCGACGCCGTGGTATGGGCCCTCCACAGAGGCTGTGCGAAACTCATCATGCACTACGAATGACAGAAAGGGAATGTAAGTATTTTTTGTACTTACGTTTGTATTTAGTACAGACAAAATATATAGAAGAAAGATGCATAATATGATGAAATACCAACTAACATATCAAAAAAGAAATTAAAATAATAATAATAACAGAAAATAGTAATATTGAATAAATACATAACAATAAAAAGTGAATAAGATCCCTTCAACATTTTAAATAACTAGGTTGACTGTCTGATTTAACCAAGGAATTCAAAATGTACTATTCCATATAATCCCACTCTTTGTTGGAGCTTATTTTTTGCCAATTTCATGTTTGGTTGTGCCACCTTGTCATGGTTTGTGACAAGAAATTTGTTTTGCAATATATTTTTTAGAAACCTCACCATGGCAGGTGCTGACTGCAAAGCCGATGCGTTTATTTTCTCGGTCGAACACCACATAGAAGCCTTCCATGATGACAGCCCCCATCACCGTACCAGTGCTGGACTGGGACACGGCAAACTTGTAACAGTCCTCCTCGGCGGAAGCCACGTCCTCCACTGGCCGCAGGTATTGCTACATAAACAACAATGAAAAATACAAATCAAGGATGTCAATCTTTTCCAATTCCGGGTATTTATGCCATTGTTATGTCTGGGGCCTTGAAATGAAGTGCTAAAAGGCTAAAGAAGTCGGGTACTTGCCCACTTTACGCCACAATGAAACTAAATGCGTTGTTCTTTTAAAATATAAAGAAAAAGTGCTATCATTACATATTTTGTCCACCAGAGAGCACTGACATGTGTTTTTTGTATCTTGAAAATGCCCCTCTTAGTAAAAAGTTTAGTCGGAAGCCTTTATCATAAAATAAGGTATCTTTATCAAATTTGTTTTAATTAAATGTATGAGATAAATACATATCAGATGTTCAGATTCTTTCAACTCTGAGTGATTACAGTTCCAGCCATAAATATTCTGTGTCATCTTTGTCTGTAATTTTCTTATACAAGTAGCTTCAATGTACATTCAATATGTGGTGTGTAACCTGCTATATAAGAGAAGGCAAGAAAAGTAAAAACTTATCTCGAGCGTTTCAATCTGCTGTCAGCTTCAATGTCACAGACCTCCCACACATTTAAAGCACCTCACTTCTAAATCCCCCTGTCACATCTTTTTTATTCCACAACCATCAAGGTCTTTTCAAGTAGCTTTGAATGAAAAACGCTTAATGACTTTTCAGAGCTTTCTGAAAAGCTTTAGAAAATACATTCAAAGGGCATTTTCTCTGAAATGTGGTCATTATATTTTTCCTCATGGTACTTTGCCATGCTTTCATCTTTTGAGACTACATAAAATAGTCTGGCTAAAGGATAAAAAGACTGATTGTGAACAGACTTGCTGAATGAGTGCAGAGGGGAATAACATACATATATTTCAGTTATCAGGCAGTCAGTGTAATCATCATAGACCTTGTAATTACAAAGGATGTACGTGACTCAAAACTATGTAAAATTATTTCAAATTTCAGAAAAATACCAAAACCTGAGTGCTCAAAAGTGCAGCCCGTCAGAATACTGGGTGAAATGTTTTCTATCCTGAACAAACCCACATGTCTAAAAGAACAAGAAGTGACATGAATCACACTGTCATACAGAAGCAGACACGGAGGCCGATAAAAAATGAAAAGTACATTTCCATTTCAATTTCGGTTTCATCTACCAGTTCTGAGGTGTGATGAATGTCAATCTAAAATGATGTAAAAGTGGCATAGCCTGTATGTGATTTAGGACAACTTATGATGTGAAAGAGGGCCTTGAACAGAATTGCAAAGAGCAGATTTCATGTAGGTTGTGCTCTTTACACTGTGTGAAAAAAACAGATCTTATTCACACCCGCAAAGAACCGAAAAAGAGATTTTGGCAAATATGGCCTGCAGTGTCACTATCCTTACAGGCTGAGAAGGTGAATCCAGCACCTGTTTCCCATTATGAATCAAGGTCAAATGAAACACAGTAGCTTCTGATGATTTTAAAATAATTTCACTTGAGAAATATAACTTCATATGGGACAAATGTTATCCACACATGCAACAAGATTCAGCTTCAGTAGAGAGACAGTGTAATACCTGCGGCAGGATGGAGATTCTGAAGGACTGGTTGTGGTTTTCACTCATCAGGTAGAGGGAGATGACGGGGAAGATGTGCCAGGGTGTAGTTCCAGCCTGCCAACAAACCAGCTGCTCCCCCAGCCAGAACCCAGAGGGAAACTGCTCGGTCTGAAAAACAGGGTCCAGAGGTCATTCGTTTGTTTTCCCAAAACCGCTTATTACAAATCAGGCTCATGTGGAAATGAGACTGGAGGTAAGCCAAAGGTTTGTGGGGAAAAACATATTTTTCTTTACATATAAATCATTGATATCTTCTACAATTTTGACTACAAAAGTATGCCATTCGATCGAAAACAAACAAGGTTTTGCAGAAATGTAAGCAAAAATATTTTAATCCGACAACTTTGAAATGGAAAACTGGGAGATACTAACATGTCTTAAGTTCTTTAAATAAGTGTATCTGATCAGATCTTATTATTAATCTAAGATGTCCTGCCCAAAGCCATGCTATAAAAAAGTGAGAGCATTCTTTAAAAATATCCATTAAATATAATATGAGTCTTGAGCATTTCCTTGTTCAAATCACAAATCAAAACAAACCTCTTCAGAACTGCTTTTAATCTGTAATTCATGTTTTGTTTTATATATTTTAAGTGTGTTGTTTTAATTATGTTTTATGATTTTTACTCTGTAAAGTGTCTTTGAGTTTCTAGAAAAGTGTTCTCTAAATAAAGTGAATTATTATTATTATTATTGTATTGTCTGCTTTCATGAGACATCTCAAGAAATTAGTAATGACCAGGAAATCAAAGCAGAGTCATGTAGATATGAATATAAGGTTATCCATAGCATTGACTGACCGAAGAAGCTGCTTCAATAGCCTTGACTGCAGCCTTGAAGACTTTTCTAGGCAGTCGAAGGTTAGTGGTGCCGCTGTCCACGATGCTCTTATCATAGTTGTACTGTAAAAGAAAAAAGATCAGTCACCAATTAACAATGTCTTACATTTTGCTGACATTTGAATAATTCTTACTTTAGTTTTTGCTGTTGTCTATCAATCCGCCACATCTTACCTCTTTACAGTCCATGTTCAGATCCTGTCCGTTCACCTCAATGCGCACGATGATGACCTCATAGTACCACTCCCTGCGGATGGGAGTGTACCAAAGCTCTCCCACGTACAGGGACGGGTCCACTACTCCGATGATCTAAGAGCATAAGGAAAAGTTAAATCCAGTCGGGTCTCCCAATACGACATTAGATGATTTGTGTGTGTTTGTGTGTGTCTCACCATGCTGCCACCAACAGTAGCGCTACCCAGGGAGTCGTTTTGGGAGAAGCCTGCTCCACACAACTGCAGAGAGAAGAGGTTGGGAATACGATTCTGCCGAACTAGAGAGTCGAAGAAAGGCAGCAATGTCTCGTCAGGCTGTAGAGAGAAAGAGGGGGGGGGGGGGGGGGGCGAGAGATAGCTTCATTTCTGAATGGCCAAACTGTTTTTAGTTTCAGCTTTACATGTCGATAAAATGGAGCAAACCTAATTCTTCCAATCAGTAAACCGTTTGTAATTTTTGTCAACATTCCATAGCTCGTTTTTAAAATGTGTAAACAATGTGAAATATTTCGATTACAAATCTAAAAATTGATTTAAGGACAAAATGACTCATTACTGATCCATAAGTAAGGTGTTTTTCTTATCACATCTTCCAAATGTCAGGTTGAACTGGAGTTATCTAAAAATATATCCCACATCCAAAGTCTTCATTCCATGTCATCAGGGAATACATGTAGCCTAGTCATTTTGACTTTTCAATCTCCTTCTTTCTTCTTTATATAATGTCCAAATATATATACAGTATGTCACAGTTGTACAAATAGAGAGTACTCATCGACTATAAAAGCATGGTTTCTAGGCGATGAAATTGAATGATTTGACAACCGAGGTGCTGATGTGTATGATCGGCCCTGTGCTGCTGAAAAAAACCTCATTCATGGGGAGATATTTTTCTGATTTTCATGAACCAAGGGATACGCTGCTCTTACCCGGGCTATGTCGGCGTAGGCCAGTCCCAGGATTCCCTCCCAGTTGGATCCGTTGATGAAGAAGCGATCTGACTGGGTGATGGCAGCGATGTTGGCGCGCAGCGTGGCGTTGGGGCCGTGGGGGACGGAGACCAGGTCCGTTCCCAGCTCCCCCTCCCAGCGACCCTGCGTGTAGGGAACATACACACTCCTGCCCTGATCACGGTACGAGCCGGAGCTGTCAATGAGTAGTGAGATAACAGAGTGGGAGAAAAAGGAGAGGGAGTTAGCGTACAGTGGAGGGGAAAGAAGAGGGTTTGGTTTTGAGGAAATATCATATGTTTTTATTTTTAAATGACCACTCAGTTCAATACAATTAACAAGGTGGACTCCTTGTAAATCGCATGTTAACATAATCAGTGTAAAGGTGGAAATAATTATTTGTTTTTCCTCTACAATATCACCTGAAAGTGCTGCGAGATATTTGGTTAAAAAAACCACATTGGTGCTCTAAGAGGATATTCAGGTGATAAGGTGAGTGGGTGTTACCTTGGTTGGTGATTGGCTAATGGTTACAAAACCCAAAGAAACGTTATGACATCATAAAGTGGCCAACATCTGATCAGCTCATTTTCAGGCAGGTTTTTATATAGATGGATCAGGACAAAAAGAGAGCGAATCTTTTTTCCTGAAACTTTCAGAATCTCTTTACACAGAGGGGACACATGTTTATGTATAAAAGACATGAAAAAGGGGATTTTGCACAATAGGTGACCTTAAATAAAATGGAGAAGACGTAGGACTGTATATTTTATTCCTCGTGTCTCTACTCACAGTGAACGATGGTAGTATCTGCGCAGGAAGGGATGAGCAGCAGCCCCCACAGCAAAGTTACTACTTCCTGTATCCACCAGGATGTTCAACTAGTGAGAGGGAAGAAAGACACACATAGAGACATTTATTAAATATATGCAGTGTGCGTTTATTTACAAAAATCAATACGTTTGTAAAACAGACGTTCGGGTTACATTGTGAAATTGATTAGGTTCCATCTCTGAAGGGCAAGTTTAATCATCAGTATCTTGGCTACCTTGGAGACAGACATTTGGAAATATATTTCTGTGAGGGGTTTTTAATGTCTGCTATTGATATCTTACTATTGATATTCTACCTTTTTTTATATATTGGCAGTCCTACAGGCCAATGTTCTCTTTCACAGGAAGTAGTCGGCGTCACATCACACAGATTTTCATTTTTCATCCGTCATTCTCGGTATCCATTTCTCTTCCCTTGTAGTGTCCTGTGCTGTTTCCTGTTGCCCTAGATGTCCTTCTCCGTCCCCTCTCTGCCTCCACTCTCACCCCCCACTCATCTCAGGTTGCTTTTTCTACTCCCTCTCTCCCCCATCTTCTCCTCTCCTGTCTACATCTCTTTGTGAGTATCATATTTTGCGCCATCAGTCATAACAGTTAGTGAATGTGTGAATGGAGCCCGATGGCAGATGCCGATGAAGAAAATCTCAAGTTTATATATTATAATGTAGAAATTGTGAGAAAATAGAGACAAAGCAACTTCTATATTTTATAAAATAATGCGTTTGTCGTTTACCAGCTAAAAAATAGGGAGAGAACTGCTGTAAACAGTTACTCTCACACTGACACTGTCCAATTGTTGAAAAAACATGTTGATTGCTCATGTTTAATCACAGACAATGGTAAATGATGTCCTTAAAGTCTGCTACCATTAATCATCTTTTACACATGAAATTATCCATGCCTACAATTGGAAGCTACCTATTTCAAATGATTTTTCGTTCTGTTCTTTTTTGATGTACTGCTGCTTTACACTATTTATCTAGTGATACATGTTAATGCATTCCCAATTGTCTAGTTGTAATTGAGTTCAATCAATGCATCAACATTGATATGGTTGTATTCAACATGTACTCATGTGATTTGTGTAAGGACATACTTTGCTAATATACTGATTGATAAATCAAAGGGACTATAGATAGACAGTTTGCTACAGAAACACCATAACAGATGAACAGACAGGCGGTCAGATACAGCCACAGCAAGCCGTTCAATAATGGATTGGCTCTTTAAATATCCAGGATAGTGCTACTGTCTCAGGGGCTGGGCCTGAAAGCCCAGGATAAATACGGACTCTGTCTAACAAACACACACATCTCAATGATATCACACACACAAGCCTGCATATGCTATTTCTACTAACACCTCTACAGTCAAAGTGTAACAACGCTCAACACACCCTGTCTTCCTCTCTTTGCCAGAAATGTGTTGACTGCTTTGGTTGATTCTGTTTCCCTCACACTCACACACACTAAAGGCTCCATCCTGACACACTGAGCCTTCACGTCTCCCCCTGTCTCTCTCTCTCTCTGTCTTCCGGTCGTCCCTGGCAGAGTGCCCGTCTTTTCCTGCCATTATATCTGCCCTCCCGCCTTCACTACGGAGGAGAAATCCTCTAGTGTTTACCGGAACACATCGTATCTGAAAGTTACTGTAAATGATTTGAGATCGTTTCAACAATTTTGCATCTACCAACCATATCAAAGGTTATACAAGGCCTGTATAGCTTATGCAATTACGATAATTTCATTTCAATATCATTTACCCAACGATGCATCAATTTATAAAAAGCTTTGTTTATCTTGATGCAGGCTCTTTCATAGCCATAACAACATTCCGATAATTTGATTCAAGATGCCTTAATACTCTTTAAGGGCCTGCTAATGGTTTATCTCTGTGTTGTTATGGTCATGGATATCCTGACTATTCATTTTAATGAATTATATGGAATGACACCTGACTAGTGCGTTTCTGCTGGTTGATCTGGAGACTGCTGTTTTTGCCACAGTTTGCTAGGCCCCTACACACCAGGCCGATATCGGCCGTCTTGCGTTGTTGGGCGAAAACGGGTTCCTTGTCGCCCAAAGTTAATTTGGTGTGTCCCGAACCCTCGGCCGTGACACGCCTTATTTGGCCTTTCACGATCGACACCCGGCCGATTCAACATGTTGAATCGGCCGGGTGTTGGACACAAGCTATCGGGCCAAGAAACCACTCTGATCAGCTGTTCAGCTAGCAAATGAGAAGCGAAACGGAAGTGAGGGACGTAAACAAACGATTTAAATGTCCTCTCTTACCTTCCACACATAGCAGGGACATCTCTGATATCGGCGGGAGCGTCCCCGGCTGTCCTCTGCTGAGAGCTCCGTGATTTGTTTGGTCAAGTCCGGTTTTTCATCTCATCGTAAATTTAGCAAGAAGTGGCCATTATTACATTGCTGACTCAATAAACTACACACCCGCCAGAACACTGCGATCATCAGATGCAGGTCTATTAACTGTGATTTTATAGTATGTCTGCACTTTATGTGCTCATTTCATCATGCATGTATTTTTATATTCTAAAACATGTTTCTAACGGCACCCGCTATAGAGTGGCGAAGTCCCTCCCCTTCCGGTTGAGCCCCATGGGACCTTATTTCGGAAAAGTTATGCATTGAAGTCAATGGAGAGAGAAAGATTATCTTTCGATCCCGTTTGAATTGTGCCACGAATTACACATATGATGTTTGTCAATTTAAAAGATAATTTTGCAAGTCAAAAAAATTAAAATGTGTCGTAAAACTGTGAAGTAACACATTTGTTTGTGTGAAAGGCTCAATGAACTACATCTCTGGTCAACCACACACGTCACCAAGATGGCCGTCACTACTGTCTTGTCAACAAACGATTGACTATCACCACAATGAAACACGTCCTGAAGAATGTCATGCAAAGCCTGCCTTCCTTTGATTCTCTCTGAACTGCCTGGTCGTTTTAATGTTTAATGTCAACCATTTGTGCAGATAGCATGAAGTAGAAAAGATCGCCGATGCTAACGTTAGCGTTAGCATTTCTCCCCCGGAATTAAATGGTGTATTATAGAATGATCACACCGGTGACAGTACTATTCAAAGGGTTCACGAAATATGACTACTACTCTTACTGTTTAACATTTTGGGTTACTTAATGTTACTTCATGTTAAGGCTAATAAAAATGACAAGGCTGTAATGCTAACTAACGTGCTAGCTACTAGCTAGGTAGCTAACTTGATCAAGCCACTCCTGGTCGTTTCATCAGACGGGAAGCAAAAGAACGAGCAAGACCCATTGCTGGTATAATAACAACCTGGTACTAAGCACACAGGCATCTTGTTAAAGTTATCTTATCTTAGCCAGCGCCATATAGATAGATTATATCTATATTGCGCTGATCTTAGGTATCTGAATGGTGGAGGTAAACAATTGTGACATCACTTACGCGACTCTGGGATTTGTAGTCTTTCTAGTTACGTATTTTTCATAGTCTTATATTTCAACAGTTTTACGACAAACTGTGACTTTTTTGACATGGAAATGATTTTTTAAGATTGACAAACATCATATGTGTAATTCATGGCACAATTCAAACGGGATCGAAAGATAAGTTTTCTCTCCCAATTGACTTCAATGCATAACTTTTCCGGAATAAGGTCCCATACCCCGGAAGTAAGTGGGAGGGACTTCGCCACTCTATTTGTTTGTATCAGTCTGTTCTTCTTCTCTGTCTTCCGGTTGTTGCCTATTTTGAATGACGAATACACACTACCGCCGCCTGCTGGTAAGGAGAGTTATTGCCACTCACGCATGCGCAGTTCGTACGTGCTCGGCTGTAGTAAAGCGGTGTATTTCAGTGCGACACACGGCCAATACGCAGGAGTTCTGTATTCTGGATCTGTCGGTGTCAGATGTCGGCGAGTTCTCTGGTGACTGCCTGGTGTGTCAGGGCCATAATTAAGGTCATGCTTCAGTTTGACATATGAAAAAAGGGTGTGGCTTTCCTGAGATCCTCAATAATTCCAGTATGTATTAGAAACCTAGAAACCTAAATGCATGGGCGTAGGAAGCATCCTGAATGTGGGGGGGACATTTTTAACGGGGGTGTGGGGGCGAAAAAAAATATAGATTTCCTGTATTCTGGTGCATTTTAACAGGTGGTTTGATACTTTTATGTGGCTATACTAGCATGAGGAAAATGATGGGTACATTTTGTAATTTCAGTAGTAAAGAAAGGAAACATATTTGATTATTAATTCAGAGCTGTCTTTGAATTAATAAAAAGCAGTTTAAATGCCCATTTTTTGTACATTTATATACAACAATAAATATTTGTGAGTGCATTGAGAGATATTGTTGTGGAGAGTCATTTATATATAAATCGCAAAATACATTTGTGAATCCTTCTGTGAGCATTTATTAATATTGAGACTGATCTGACTCCATACGGATGTTAAGTTCACCTAGGAATGGTATCATTGACTTAAATGTTCAAATAAATGTTGCTCTTCTGTCTATATTGGTCATATGATGCCCCTTGACTGAAATGTTTCCTGTTCAAGATCCCCACTGATTTCCTTAAAATCCTGGGATGAGAGTCCACATCACAATTTACTCTCAACTGTCATTTCCCTTTCATCACTCACCTCAGCAATGGACCTCTCTCCACTGTCCCTGTATTCTGCCTCTGACTCACTCTCAAGTGCCTAGATGTCAAGAGAGGTGGTGAAGTGATAATAAATACTGATAAATACTAGTAACCTGGCATTTCGATGCCTTTTCTCATCTAAACTATTCAGTATTTGTATCTCTCTATCATGACATAAAGACGAAACTCCTCTCCAGAAGTGAGACACCGCCATCACTGTTAACTGATTAACTGCTACCAGCTGATGACTTACTTTCCTCTTCTTTGAAAAAAATGTTCTTATGTCCATGTTGTCTGGGGGAGAAAACATATCAAACCAAGAGATCGTCAGCTTTGATTTTCGCTGTATTAACCTTTTCCTGATCATTTGGTGTGTGTGCCTTACCTCCGCTACCGGCATCGCTTCATACAACAGATCTGAGCTGTCCAACTATGACATCACTCCTTGAACGTGCGCGCGCTATGTGAGAATCTGCCTTGGTACAAAGTAGCAGTGAAAACATGGAACGGAGTTTCATTGATTTGGGCATTCTCTCAATAAGCAAGTGGAATGGATTTCATTTGATAGTGAAGCACTGACACAGCGCTCGACAAAGTGCAGCGAGTGGATAGACCGATTCACGGACTTTCCGCATAGTAAAAGTGGGGGGGTCTAAACTAATTATTTGAAAAAGTGGGGGGGACTTGTCCCACCCTCATATAATGGCTGCGACGCCCATGCCTAAATGTATTAATCAGCTTCATATGATGAGCAAACACATTTTATTGCTGAAGTTAGTGCAGTTTCGTTTGCTAAACCTACATTTTTCAAGTAAGAGATTTCTGTATTTTTGTCATATATTGACTTAATTGTCTCTAGGGCAGAGGTCATGGAACTTGTGTTACCTAGGCTCCTATTGAGTGTTGCAGGAATGAGTCCTGAAACCCACAAATGAGCTAGCATTTATTTTGTGAGATGCCTGAAATTAGGTCTGTGGTTAATACAAGCTAAATCGATATTCATGGTTATTCACCAACATAAAATATGTCACTAAATACCCCACTGGTGAGTGTGTGAAGCTTCATCGTCATCATGCCGAACACGAGTCGGCCTTTAGCTTAACAATGGCAACGTGAATTCAAGCGACTGTGATGTTTAAAGTTATGTTAGCTTTTTACTTCTGGCAATTGCATTTAACAGGTCTCTCTTGAAAATTAGACCTTGTGTCTCAATGAGATTTTACACCTGTATAAATAAAGGCTACAAAAAAAAAATACAAATTTACACTTAAAAAAAATCATGAAAGCAGTAAATTATCAGGCTGACAAAACGTGTAGGTATCATAAACACGTGTCAGCCAGGAATAATCTGAAATCCAATGGAAAAATTCCATTGCTTTTTGTCGAGTGAGCCCCTGTGATGCTTTATTCTGGGTCAGCCTAAGAAAATACGTCATCATTGCACCAGTCAATTGACACTGTAGTGATTTCTGCCTGTATTACACCCTCTGGCCCATACACTCTTTGGTACACATCCATAGCAAACAAAGATACAGCGGTTCAGAGAATGCCCTGAGCAAGGGATGGATCCCAGAGCACAAAAAACACAACACTTTGTCCGTCTTTGCTGACCAAACTCAACCTCAAGCACTATGCCGAAACATGAGTGTCTCTCAATGGAAGGTTCACCTCCACTTGTCACTCTCCATCCCTCTCTCTCGCCATTGTGTTCATTCGTTTTTTCACCTCCTCCCTCTTTCACCTTCTTCTCCTCTTCTACCACCTCATCACTTTCTCTCTGTTCCTCGCCCTCTGGGTGCCAGCCTGTACACCACAGCTGCACTTGGCTGGCACTCCTCACTCTGCAGAATTAATGGTTCCATTATCTGTCTGTATCCGTCAGTTCTTTCTCTCACTTTCACACACACACACACACACACACACACACACACACACACACACACACACACACACACACACACACACACACACACACACACAGGCCATCTGTCACTGCAGGGCCCTCAACATTATTGCAAATCGCATAGTACATTGGACAAACGCATCCTCTACCACTGACTTGTATTTTGCATTCCCTATTTACAGTAACTATGTATATCTTACATAAAAAATGGCCTGTTACAGTAAAGTACGACGATATTGATATACAGGGACATATACAGTAAATTGGTTGTCAAGGTGTGTTATAAATTCAGATTGATGTCACCTACCATTCAGTTGCATTGTATAAAGTCAACTGATGGAGAAAGAATGGGAGTATAGACCAAAGATTAAAATTGCATTTTGAAGGAAGAGACTAAAGAAAGGACAACACAGACTGACTAGTCACACTGAAAGTCATCTTTAAATAACGATTCTTTTTTTTTTCTTTGTACTTGGTTTCTTCAAAATTAATTTGATTTGATTATAATTTATTTTTACTGGCTGCTATCTCATAGTTAGATTATTTTACTAACACTAAAAACTGTGCAATATATTCTTTAATGTTCACTACTGTTACCTGGCGCCTATCACACTATGGTGGTTGCTGTTTTTAATATTTTATTAATGCCTCTTAATTAACATTTTCCCTGTTTACTTTTGCTGTAAGAATGTTCATTTCTCATCTGTGGGACTTATCCTGATTTTAATTCTGATGTTATTATGGATCTGTCAAGGCCAAAACGTGTTTGCAGGCTGTGCCTTAAGGAGCTTTGACAACATCATCTATCATGTCACGTAAATAAACCTTTACCTTTTGCGGAGGAGAGCCAACAGCCATCTCCACGTAGTATCCTTGACCAGACTTCCCACGCAGGTTATCAATCATGTCCACGAAGGTGATGCTGCTCGCTGCCGCTCCTCTCCGCCTGCGCGCACTGCGCTTCGCCGCGTTGCCGTGCTCACGGTACGCAGCGGCAGGTGGCAGCGGCGATGGCTTCTCAGCGAGAGCGCCTTGTCGCAGTGGGACGCGGATGGCGAGAGGCAGGCCCGAGGCGTCCGGTACGGATTGAACGTGACTGAGCAGACACAAAGTCGTCCACATAAACAGACCTGTCAAACAGCGAGGCTGTAACGTCGACCCCTCCATGCTGAAACTCGGTTAAAGATGTATTTTCGGTATGTTTTGGTTCTGACGCTCCGCTCACTTTGACGTCCAGTCTGCAGCGGCACGGCAGAAGAGATCAGCTGGCAATGATGCTAAAACGACGGCTAAAACCATGATGGCAGTTGCACCACAAATCACAGGGTCACTTTATGTCCTCCGGTTTTCTTCCCGTTTAATTGTGTGGAAAACATCTCGACAACGTAACATAGTTGGAAATCAATTCACTATTTGTCAAGAAAGGCAAATGCTCAGTGTCACAGATAATGTCAAGCTCCGTGCTCCGTGCTCAGTGCATCTACAAACCGCAGGCCTAGGTCGTTGTTGCCGCACATTCTCATGTCAAACGACCAAAACCATTGTTGGTTGACAGGCAATCCGGAGAGCTTCAATAATCCGCATCCTTCCGAGACATTCAGTTATCCGCCTTCTATAGTCTTTCACCTCCTCCTCCACCTCCATCCACCCGCTGCATCCCCCAGATCTGAGAACAGCACAACTGTCAAGTTACAATGTGAAACCGCACGACTTCCTGTAGGCCTTTTCAAAATAACACAGAAATATAATCCCTTTATTTTATCTCATGAAGTCCCTAAGTGACACACACTGAACAGTCTGGTGGGTCTGGGCCAGTTCATGTGGTTTTGTGTTCCCATAAAGCATGTCCAAGATCATAAGATGTCCCTGTGCGATGCTAACACATGTGACATTTCAGAAATTGTTTATTGTTGCTAAAGATAAGATGTAAGCCCTTTAAGAATTATAGTGCTTACATAACATGTCCTCTATCTATTCATAGGCCTTGAAGTAAAAAGATATGATTCTACACTGTATTGAAGTAAACATGTATTGTTTGAACTGTTTTAGGTAATCACAAACGGGTTTTGATAAGTCACTTAGAATAGGAATGTTATTCTTACTTCCAAACTCACTGGCTTAGAGATTCTGTGTTTCAACACACCAACAATTCTTATCATCCATAAAAGCCAGATGTCGTCATTAAGTCGTTAAAAGACATCGTTAAAATAGGTGAAGGAAAGTTTAAATGTCTGAAATAGGATAGTTATGTGAAAAACTCTCATGGAAAAGGAATGGAGTTAAGATCGGGACGGAGATAAGAATTTACTTTTGACCTTAGGGGATTTTGGAATTTCAAGTCCTGGTGAGAACTATTGAACCCGGCCAGAAGCGAGTCCAGCCAGTCAGGGCACTTGGGGGAGGTGGTCAGTTTAAACAGCTCCTCCCCAGGGGTTCTCTAATTCGCTTAGGAGAAAAGTGGGAAGGAAGAATTCAACACATCTCCGCCCCAAAATAGGGATATGTATACGGTTGGTTTTGTATGTAAAAATGCTTCTGGTCTGTTGAAAGCTGGTGCTAGAAGACGGTAAACCGCATCACAAACCTGGAGTCCATACTTCTCGTTTTCTGAAAGCTGGTCTGTCTACCTGTAAAACCGCGTCATCAGGCCTGAAGCCCGGAGTGCTCGAGTACTCTGTATAACTTGTATATGTGTTTGGTTTCCTACTAGAAGTAAACTCAGATAATTTGTTATAACTTTGATTCCGGTGTTTTCAATTCCTTTCTTAATTTAATAGAGATCCAGCCTCATCCAACGAACGGCGCGTAGCAGAGGTATTCTGCTCCAACAGCCTATAACCTGTTGTGAAAACATGTATTGATCAAATTGATATGAAACGAATAACATTAAAGGTGGGGTATGTAATTTATTTCAGAAACACTTTTTGTTATATTCCATGGAATGCTCTTAACATCCCGATAGCAATGAATATATTAAATGCTTTGACAATAAATACATTAAAAAATGTAATCTGTGGAAGCCGTAGTGCTGTAAAAAGCACGACCAATCATTTTAGCCGGCCCGGCTAAAGTAACTGGATGGCCTACCTGCCTGTCAGCCTTCCATCTGTGCACAGATTTATCTCGTGTGTGTGTTGGAGGAGGGGCTCTGTAAGGAAGTGGCAGATTTTTTCCGGCTGTGTATTTTCAAATTCTAGCGCACTCGAGCTGGTTTCTCCAAAATTACCTACCCCACCTTTAATGTGACATTAATACAATTCTTTAAAAAAAACGTTTTATTTTATTTGGCCAGATTTTTCTTTTTAATAAATAGCCCGACATTTTCTACCAGGCTCGGGATTCGAACCCACGATCTCACAGAGGTCTGGATATGGACTGCCTGGTTTAACTCAGCGATACAGCAGCTTGTGCAACCAGGATTGATTTGAGGTGACCTTTTTTTTTTCGTTATGTTATGGCTGGCCAGTATGGAGGACGAAACATGACATAAGTATAAATAAAAAAATAAAAAAATGTATGACTAAATACAGGAATAAATAAATCCAGGAATAAATAAATAAAATAATAAAGACATTTGGAAATAAATACAGAAATAAATAAATGTATAAATAAATAAAAATATAAATATATAAGTTGAGAATAAAACAGAACACACGTATCTTTAATGTATTTCTACATTTATTTTGACTAACATTAATATATTCATTAATTTCTGTGTCTGGGCATGTTTCACACAATGTTGTTCTATTTGGTAGCCTTTTATTCTATGGATATGACAACATTTATAACAATTGTACTTTTAATTGCTCTGAACGTTGTGCATGTGTCTTTAACAATATCTTTGAGTTGCTATAATATTTTATTTCACTTCTTCTGACCAGTCCCCCTCAAATAGCACAATACCGGATAAATCAACATGATAACTGCATGGCTGGGATTGGACCCACCACCTTCTGACTCAAAGACAACAGCTCGTCCTCTTAGCCACAGCCAAATGATGGACTGTTGTTCAGAAATGATGAAGTCATAGCCTGAAAAGGTGCTTTTTATTTCATGTGCTGTCCTCCAAACCTGTGTGCTCATTGTGTGCATAAAAGTACAAATTCACTCCAAATCACATCATAGCAAGACCTATAGTTGTATTGGGCGTTGTTAATGTTTTAAAAACACATTGGTGGTCCAGAGGTCTATGCACTGGCTTTTCATGAAGGTGCTCAAGGTTCAACACCAAGGGAGGAACATCTTTTGTCTCCTACTATGCACATGTTAAATCTAGAGAAATTGTCCCCACCACTTTTTCTAACGAAATAAAATAAAAAATAGTGCAAGATTATGTTGCACGAGAAGTAAAATATATAAATGTCAAATAGAATACAATAAGCTAAATGTTGCAGAGAATGTTGCAAGTGTCCAAGTACATGCAGAAATCTATGTAATATAGAGTAAGATAGACAAGAGCAGAATGTAAAATTAAACATTCTTATACAAGTGGCTTGTTCCAGATCATTTATTCCACCATGACACGGACATAGACATTTGAAAGGAAATGTAAATAAATGGCTCAGTTGGCTAGTGAGTGATCTTCGGATAAAGGGAGTGCTGGTTCCATTCCCACTGCCTCTCACCTCAAATTGCTCCTGTGGGGATTGCCGACAGTATTGAATCTATGTAAGTTGTTTTGGATAAAAGTGTCTAACAGGTGACATGTCATTGTGGTTTTGACTTCATACATAGGTTGACTATAAAATGTTTGAGAGACAGAAAACAAGTATATACATTTATAATACAACACAAATTAACATTGATATCAGCTGAGGAAGCAAGCTGTAAGTTGAATTCAATTCAAAGCTCAATAAGTTTCGCTTCTCTTTTCCTACAATAGACCGTCTCTCTCTTGAGATGGTCCTAGACAGTCCCAGTAGGAAGGAATAGAGAGGAAAGAAGTGGGTGCTAATGCACTGTCCCCGTCCTTACTCTCCATGTTATGTCCCACAGTGTCTTTAAGGTGGTGGAATAGTCCACACTGCTCCACCATCAACGGGGCCGGGTCCTCCTTTCCTGAGGGCGCAGGAGAATACAGTTTGAAAGGTAAGTATCCAACAAAGTTTTTCTATCGTGTATTAAGTCTTCACAATGTCTCATCTGCTGATCAAAGTGGACAGATTTATTTAACCTTCCAGCATCACAAAACTTGAGCAGTAAGGTTGATGAATACAGCTGAACGTCATATCACTTCTGGATAAACTCACTAGAGGGCATCTGTTAAAGAATATATCCTTTAACCCTGCACCTTGTAGGTCATGTCTAATCAGAAAAGAAATCCAACAAATACAGAAAATTCGAAACCAGAGGATAACTTTATCTAAATAATAAATTAAAGTTTCATAGGTGCTTAATACATCTGGTTAAAATACATTAGAAAAATACATTTCAATACATTTATTAGAACATTTGTAATTTTGCTTGGGTGAACCCTCTTAACAATCCCTGTGTTTAAATTGTGGATTAAAATGTGTTATTATGTTTAAAACTATAATAAACACAATGTCCTGAAAAAAATGAATAATGTTAAGTTGTTTCATCCAATATGTCAGTTACATTCAGAGAGATACTCACTGGTTGAAGTGTTGGACCCCCAGCTTCTCTGCTCTCTGGGTTTGGTGGTGAATGACTCAGCTCTGCCCTCTGGTGGACACCACACATCTAGGGGTCCGGCAAAACCCACCCTGCACACATTAACACATACACATACACACACATAGATAATGTATATAGTCATACACGCATTGTAGACAGAGACATGCCTGTACACACGGCTATATAACCACCATCATGTTCCTTGCAGTTTTACCACACATGGCCAATAACCTTTTATGTGTAAACCCCCTTTAAAAACAAAGGTCAAAGATTAGCTATCATGGGGACTTTTGCCTCATCAATATGTTCCAACTGATAACAGCGATAAAGATACACTCTGATCTAGTCAACTGGCCTTTTCGGAGAAGTGTTTCATGTGTTTCTTCATCAGGGAAACCTTATACAGACATGATTGAATGACACTCACCGGACCTGCAGGTCTGTAGTCCTGAAACCTTTAGCAAATGGGTTGCTAGCAATTTTTAACTGGGTTATCTGAAAGAAAGAAGGTAAAATGAATTATTTCCCAATGCTAGTTATATTAGTTAAATCACAATGAAAATCCTACTGATGCCAGATTTCCTACCCGGTGGTTCTGATAGGCAGTGACTGCCATAAAGCGTGTCTCAGGGAAGGAAAAAGAGCAGAAGTTCCTGTTTGCATTTAAGTGACTGTTGGGAGCTGGATCCACATACACCACATGGAAGCGCGGCTGATAGCGATGCATGGAGTTCAATATCATCTGGCAGGGAGGAAGGTGGAGAAAAACACACAACAGGCTAGACTAAAGAGAGTATTTGTTTGTTTGTGATGCAATGGAAATCAAAACAATGTACTTTGTATCTTTGCTCAAGGTCCAGGTAAAAGCATGTGGGAGTCACATTATAGACATTGACTGACATGTCCGTTGTAATCCAGCAGGTTGTTGGTGAGCTTGAGAGTGTCGAAGGACACTGTCTGCTTCATCCACTGGGCGCCACATGCAGGTGAGTCTGGGTGGAAATGCATCCTGCTTGGGGCTATGACATCCGCTCGCCCT